CTGCCTTTGCTTTTGGAGGTGTGTCTCCTCCCCTGTCTCTTTACTCTGTGGTGATGAAGCCTCTCTGACAAAGGCCACAAACACAGCCCCACGTGCAGGCTTGGCTGTCATCCACGTTATGCACCTGCATGTTCACATCAGGCAGGGGCAGCCTGACCAGGACTGGTCCCCATTTCTTGCTCACATCAGGGGATGCTTTGTGTAAAGCTGGGATGAACACAGCACAGCACTGGATACCTGGACAGGGTAGAGTGAACCCCTGGGAGCCAAACACAACCCCATGGCAAAACTGCAACTTCCTTGCCCAGCACTGGCTCCCTGGGGAAGCAGAGACGGGTTGCAGGCAGTCTCTAGTGCAGCCCACTGGCCTCCACAGGAGCTGCCTCCTGTCACAGGATGCTGCAGGGAGCCAGGAGAGCAGAGCTCACACAGCACAGCCACTCTTAGCCAGACGAACTGCACAAAGCAAGAGAGGCTTCTGTTTTCATCTCATGAGCTCCTGAGGTGTCACATTCCTGGTGTCACCTTCCCATCCCCTCTCAGGGCCTCTGTGTTACTGTCCTGCTTCTCTCTCTGCACCAGGAGTTTGCCCAGAAATGTCGCCTCACAACTCGAGCTGCCCTAGTAATGCTTTCCCAAGGGCTGCCATGCTGGTATAGGGTCAGGCAGCTTTTCCCAAGTTATCCCTCCTCTCTCCCCCTAAATGGATCCCACATCTGAGTCCCCTCATGGGCAACCCCAGGATCTCTACACCTCTGAAATGATAGAGCAGGCCCCTCTGGCATCACCCAGTATCTATGTACTGAGGTGAACAGAGGCAGCACAACCCTTGTCACCTTGTTTCACGTGCCAGTAAGAGTGACAGGGGCTTAAAATCCCCCATGTGAATGACATTTCTGGAGGCTCTCTGCTGCTCAGAGGGTCCCAGGTGGGGACAGGGCAGCAGCACCCACACTGGGGAGAGGCCACACTGCAGAAGAGGTAGATGAAGTCTCCAAAAGCGTCAGCCACATCACTGAAGGAACTCTCCTGCTTCTGGAGTTCAGGGCTCACTCATCACCCTGCACTGGGACCTGCCGGCCCCTGGACGCCCATCCCGAGCACCTCGTGCCGTCAGCAGGGTCATGGCAGGGAACGTGTCCCTGGATAGTGCCCAGCCCACTTTCTGCCAAGGATTTGTAGCGCTGCGGTGAGTGAGCCCTTCCAGACGAACGCCACCGGAGGGAGCCCCAGCAAAGGGAATGAACGCTCACGGGAGCGCCTGCATCCATCTGAAGCAGTGGCTTTCACCCGGGCGTCAGCTCCGGGGTCAGGGGATTATTTCGTGGGGCTGTCACGGAAAGCAAACCGAGGGCAGCGCTGTCTGCTGTCAGGAGCTGTCCATCACTGCACGTCAGGCTGCTTCTTTACCAAACCACAGGGCACAGTGATGCAGGAAAGACTTACAGCACCCACTGAGTACCTGAGTACCTGAGCCACAGCCTGTTCACCTCCACTTCTTACTCACACCTGGCCCAGGAGAACTCCCGGCGGAGTTGGGGGAGGATTGTCTGGCACAGGGAAGCAGCAAGAAGCCTGTTGCAGGTGTAGTGTGCCTTGCCTTTCTTCAAGCTGTTATGACTGGGCTGCTTTCCTAAGCAAAACATCCTCTGCAAACATATTTCAGGATAAATCTGGCATGATCCCTGTCTTTGTGAATGTGGAGCTGTGAGCAGAGTTCAACTGCAGACAGCAAAGGGGATGTGCAGTAGGTTCCCCCAGCGCCACTACAACAGCTTGCTCTGATATTCCTGCTCTTTTTCACTGGCAGAAACACCTCCTATTTTTAGATTTAATATCTGCTGATAAAAAAGCTCCACTGTGAAGGTACAGTCCCATGACGGGCTTGAGCTGAACAACTTTGCTGCTACAGAAAGGGAGAAGCCTCTGTCTTCCTCCTTTTATCCTCCCTGATTTCCATCCCTCCTCTCACCCTGTGCTCCCATCTGTGCATTGCAGCTTCATTTCCCCTTGCAAATTCTGACTGCAAGATAAAATGATTCAGTTTGGCCATTTGAGCCAGTTCGAGGAGCTTACAGTGCAGTCAGGCAAGTATGAGAGATGGAAAAAAAGCAGCACTGGGAGGGGCGAAGGGAAACCTGCCCCTTATACCAGGGCTGAGCTCATGTTAGCCAAGCTCCTGCTACACCAGGAAACCACAACCAAATGGAGCCAGCTGGAGCCAGGCTGAAAACAAACAAAATTATGGGACAGGTACAGCAGATCTGCAAGCTGCTTTCACATGCAGAGAGCCTGTATGGGCTCAAGGGGCACCAGACAAGTCCTTGGAGGAGAAACATAGTAAGAGTTTTCTACCAAACTCACTGCCTTGCTGTCCTCTCAGGCCTCTGACTGCCACAAAGTACCTGGGGGCAGCAGGCAATACCTGGAGAATTTTTCCAAGAGTACTCAGAAAGGTCCAAAGAGATCAGCTTCTCCCACAAAATACTCCATCCAAACTGCACGGGACTGTGCAGAGAGGAATTTTCCTCAAAGGAGCAGCTGGATTTGCTTGTCCATTGGTGGATTTTTGATTACTTTCCAGTCAATTCTTTCAGCCCTTGGGGCATTCAACACTGGGAGGTGAATCAGGGGCACCCCTGGGAAAACACATCTCAAGGCTGGGAAAAGAGGTCTGTCTGAACCACCAAGGCTCTCTAAATTCTTATCCTGATTCCAAGCATCTGTCCACTCTGATGTTGGGAAAATCACCTGATTTCTTTATCTCCTCTATAAAGGGAGTAGGGTGGCACTTTTGTCTAGCTTGTAAGCCCCTCTGGGCACAGGGAGAGGGCTTTTTATAAAAATGAACTGTCATAATCACGGTCTTGACCCCAGACGTCACAGCTGGTTGCTGGACCAAAGTGCTGTGGCTAAATAAAATATTGTGTTGTGTTGAACTTGAAAACCCTGCAACTTTATTAATTTTTCCTGGTTTACAATCGTAAATCTCTCTCTAACAGCAATAGTTAACAAATCATTAGTGTTCCAAATCAGGGGTTGGGGCTCAAGAACTCTCCAAGAAGTTTCCATAGGGCACACAAATCTGCCAGCTGTGCTCAGCAGCCTGTGCTAATTGACTCAGCACTTCTTTGCCTCTTCCCTGCCATTCATCCCACCCCACTCTTCTGCCCCTCATACCAGAAGAGTTCGATTTTCCTCCACCCACAGCATCAAAGCAGTGCCCTCACACCACTGACGTGATCAGTGCTCGGCTGTGAGTGGCCTGGGGGCCTCAGAGAGGGCCTGTCCCCATGTGCTTGGTGGCAGAGTCCTTCATGCTGTGCTGTGTTGCATTTACAGGGGTTGCTATAATTAAGGAACTTTGATAAGATCTGCTTATATAACCATGGTGATTACTGAAGTCTCGGCATGGAAGTAGATTAGATGAGATTACCAGCTACAGCTCTGCTCTAATGTGCACGAGCTGCCTTCTCAGATTAATTTTTTGACGTTACGTCTTAAATTGGTTCTCTTTCCTCAAGGTCGTGCCGTGTTCCAAGAGGTGCCAAGCAGAGAGCTGGCAAAATTGTACAGAGGGCTTGCTGGCTGTGGGTCACTAATTATGCCTCCATATGCATTGTTAGAAAAATCCCTTTAACCTGAGAGACCAAGTCCTGTGCGCTGGCCTGGAACTCCAGGTACTTCTTTAATTAATGCAGAGTTCTGGGCACTGGCAACAAGAAAGTGCTATTTTCCAGTGAATGCACCAAGTGCTTTATGTGTTGACCCCCCGAATATGTTTCTGTGTTTGCTTTATTCTTTTTTCTATATCCAAGCACTGCTGCCTTTTGTTTCACAACCAATTTTTTTTTTTCCTTCACCTTTCCTCCTTGCTCTGCCTCCCTTAAAACTGGCTGCTTCCTTCCTTTATTTTTTCCCTCACCTCTTTTATCTCCAGACCAAATCTGGGCACGGCACCATTTTGTCCTCACCGCGTTTTAGCTGAGATCCAGTGATGACACTGGGCCTTAAGAAGGCAGAGCAAAACAGGAGGGTTTGTGGCATCGTGAGATTTCTGCTTGTCACGTGCGAGCAGAAATTTCCAACAGGGGAGCAGCTGCTTTGTTTTCTAACAGCATCTCCAGGTCAAGTTACTTGTCTGTGGAAACGTGGACCTCAGCAAGGCTTCAGCACAAGAACTGACTTACAGGGTCTAAAATACCTTAAAATACCCTCTGGAAAATGCTTCTTGCCCTCAGCAATATACCACACAAAGGGAAATCTAAAGCGAATGGGGTCTGAGAACCCAGTGCATTTCAAATATTGAAAACCTACTTTAATTCCTAAGGAAAAGTATATTTTGATTCCTCAGGGAAAACGTATTTTGACAGTGTTTTACCTGAAGGCTTTAGCAAAAACATTAAAGCAAAAATCAGCGCGGGTTTGTTGGAAGTAGTAAGGGAGCAGGTGAGTGAGCCTTACTCAGCTTATGGCTCGTAATTCCACAAGGCTTCCTTAAAAAGAAGTGATCAGAAAGAATTTGGTCCTACCCTGCACTAAAATATCATGAAGGATTTGGTCCTATCCTCCTCAAAAAAAAAACCAATCAGAAAGAGTTTGGTTATACTCTGAACAAAAAAATTATCAGAAATAGTTTGGTCGTACCCTATACAAAAAATTACCTGCCAGAATTTGACCCTACCCTTCAAAAAAACCGATGAGAAATAATTTGGTCCTACCCTTCCCAAAAAAAGATGAGGAAGAACTTGGTCCTACCCTCCACTCCGCTTTTAATGAAACTTTTGCTTTGCAGTTTTATCCAACTTTTTTTTCACTCAACCCCCTTCGGCGTTTTATTATATTTCAACCCCCGAAGGTGCACCCTTTCCCCTCCTCGGAGCAGATCCTTTTATTCCATCACTCTCACTGCCCCCAGGACATCCCCGTCCCCTCAGCGGCCGCGGCGCGGCGGACTCGAACCCCCGACCCTCCGAGTCCGCCCTCGCCCCGCCCCCGCCCTCCCCGCCGCGGCGGTTCCGGCGCGGCCGCTGTGACGCGGCGGCGGCGCCGGGTCCGGGCGGCGCGGCGGGCGGGCAGGGCGGGCGGTGGAGATGGCGGAGTACCTGGCCTCCATCTTCGGCACCGAGAAGGACAAGTGAGTGGCCCCCATCCCTCCTCCCCTGCGGCCCCGGTGTCCCCCTTGCCCCCGGGGTGGGGAGGAGCCGGAGGGGGAGGCCTGAGGCCCGTAGCGGGTTGCGCGGGGACGCGCGGCCTCGTTCGGATCGCGGCGGTCTCAGCCCTTCCCTTCCCCCTTCCCTTTCCCCTGAAGGGTGAACCCCTCCCCCGGCCCGTTTCGCTCACTCCCGGCCTCAGCGGCACCGCCGGGGCTGGGTCCCCCCGCCATTCCCGATCCTGCCTTGGAACGCGGCGGGAAGAGGGAAGCGAGAGGCGGCCGCGCTCCCCACCCCCTTTCCCCTTCCCCCCCGCCATCGCCTCCCTCAGGCCCTTCCCCTCCCCCTCAGGAACGCGCGTGCGCGCGGCGCGCGCCGCCCGGCCGGGTGGGAGGAGAGAGAGAGGGGGGAGCGCGCGCGCGCGCGCGTTCCCGCCCGCGCGCGGCCTCCGCGCGTTCCCGCGCGCGCGCTTCGCTCCCTCCCCTCCTTACCCCCAACCCTCCCCTGCCCTCCCCTCCTCCCCACCCCTCCTTCCCGGGCCGGGGCCGTTCTCGGGGACCTTCCCTTCTTCCTCTTCCCTCCCTCCCCGGCCGCCATGCGGGTGTGCCCGCGCCTCGTGGTGCGGTACCGCCCTCCCTCCCCCGTCCTTCCCTCCACCGTCCTCCTCCCCCGCGGCTGCGCCTTCCTGCCGGGCCCGCTGGGTGCCGGAGCTTCCCGCCGCCTCCTGCCAGAAAGCGCCTCCTCCTCCTCCTGTTCCCCTTTTGTTCGTGTCCCTGCGCCTCGCAGCAGCCCGAGAGCTCCCGCTCTGCTGCAAGGACAGCGACTGGTTATTTCTCCCCCCTCCCCAGGGTGCGGAGGATTTCCCCGACTGCTGCATCCTGATCCTACAGGCTTCTGCCTGCAGCCTTCCACGCGTCCGGGAACGCCTCTAGTTTCTCTGGTTGTTGGAAGCACACACACAAAACCCTCCTAACGAAAATTTGGTCACCACCGGCCTGACCAAACCGGCGTGTTTTTCCACTCGTAAAAATGAAAAAGGGGGCGTCGATGTGCTGCTGGACTAAATTACTCTTGTCAGCCCCTGGCCGTGGGGCTTCTGCTCTGCTCTGTAGCGCTGCCATTCCGGGAAAGCAGATCGGCAGCCTCTCTTGAGCTCTGTTACTGTAGCGTCCTTTCTCACAAAGGAGATACACATGAATATAATGCAGTACAGCTCCACAGTACTAATCAGGCACGAAATTCCTGTGCAGCTCCTATTTTCTGTTTAGAAAAAGCAAACGGAACCTTCCAGAAGGTGCTGAAGTTGGAGGCACTATTGGAAATTTTATAGTTAGGTATTTCTTTTTATTTCAGGTTAGAGTTCAGAAAAGACAGTAAGTATATTATAATGCTAAGTGTTTGTTTTCAAAAGCATAATGAAGAGTAAGCATGTTGTAATTTTACAGTAGAATGTTTTGCTAGAGATCAGATATGCTTTAGTACTTTAATCATTCTCCCCTTATTGAGTTGATGTTGGTTACACAGGATTGTGGAAATAATTAGTGTTGACTGTGGGAATGATAATCTTTCTTCCAGGAGAGTTCTAATATTTCACTTACCCATATACAGCCCATAGTAGTTTTCTTGCCCTTTAGAATTCTGCATTTTCCCTGTCAAGGTAACTTAAACTCCTGATGGTTTTCTTTCATCATTCCACGTGAGTTACAACTTTTTGTGAGAGTTTTACTGGCATTTCTAAACCAGCATCATTTTGAAGGTGCCACGAGATGGATCATTCAGGGAAAGCTGAAAGTGGTTAAAAAAAAAAAAAAAGCTTACTCTTGAAGTTACTGACAATATTCATGGAAATGGATTCATTAAATGAATTTGTTTTGCTTATGTGTATTCTCTCTCTAACAGGATTTTTCTCCTCCCTCAGTTTATTTCCAGTACTGTGTTGGCAGTAGCTTGAATTACCCTTAGAGTATAACTTTAAACAGGTGGTTTATAAAACATGAGAGAGGTGCAACTGTGTCAGCTCTAAAGCAGGTTTTATTGCCTGGAGCAGGGGCTGCATGAGCTGAGACACAGAGCTTGTGTAGTGTAAATTTTCAGACCGTTTTTCACGTCACTTCCCGTCCCAGCACCCACTGAAACTGGTGTAGAGACAAGGATGGAGAACAAGAAGGGTAAACCAGTGATCACTTGTGTGCGGTGGATCTGAAACCACTCAGGGTGAAATCAGTCAGATTCTGGCTGTAAATCAGGGGGAAAAGGAGTGAGTGTGGACAGGTTTGCTGTAATCCTTCCCTGTGCAGTTTTGGTGTGGATTTCCTTTCTGTGTTACTTCCCCACATCAAGATAAAGACATTTAGGGCATATGCTTTTTTGCATATTAATGCAAATCTATTTATATCTATCTATTCCGATATGTAACTACTCTATTTTTTTTTTCCCCTTGCAGGGTCAACTGTTCATTTTATTTCAAAATTGGAGCTTGTCGCCATGGAGACAGATGTTCTCGATTGCACAACAAACCAACATTTAGCCAGGTTTGTTTCCCTTTTGTTTACTCTTTCTCGTGGAAGTATATTCTGGCTTCTTTAAAACGTAGATTCTTAGATACAAGTGAATAATTAGCGAGCTCCAGATTAACTAGTTCACTTTTGGCCCCAGTTTATCTGGGTCTTTGGTTTTTTTTTGGGTATTCCATTTACTTCTCCCAGCATTTCTAATTATCTCCTGTCACCCTTAATGGCTGCAGGAAGCGATGCTGTTGTAAGCTTGCCTGTAGTAGAGACCAACCAGTGCTAACCTTCAGGTGAGTGTGCCTTCTCAGTGGTGTTCAGGCACTTAAACCATCCCAGATTTTTTAAAGCGCAGACAATGGCAGCACGTTCCACCTGTCCCAAAGGTGGGAAATTTAATGTTTCATGCATATAAGTAAACTAATTGATGAATGGAAGTGACTCATCTGTCACTGCATTTGCTCTCTGACCCAGGCTCTTAAGTTTCAAGAGTGACTTGCATACTTCCTTTGAATGTGGAAAAAATGGTTTATTAAGAACAACTTGCCTGGTTGCTGAGGGTGAATTGTCACTTGACACAACAGATTATTGAGTATTAGTGAATACAGTTAGAGACATGATATGTGACTGCATATCTACCAGAAATAAAAATAAATTTTAAAAAGTGCAGTGAGTGACAAAGTTTTTATTACTATGAGCTTTATAGTTTCCACAAATTACATTCGTGGAGAACTTTGTTTTCCCTCTGTCTATCACTGCTGATTGTCAAGGTACACAGATAAATAGATTTCTTTGGGAATGTTGCACATGGGAAGTAGTGCCTTTGAAAGTTGTTGCGTTATCAGCAGTTTTACCTACAGAGATAAAGTTTACATAAGAACAGATCTTCTGCAAGTTCATTTAATCTGCCTTGGAGCAGAATTGGTGAGAATGGTGGGCTGATGTTGGTCTGGGGAGAAATTAGGGAGGCAAGTGCTATCCATGTGACAAGTTCAGAGCTGTGGTGCTCCTCAAGCTAAACTGTGAGTGGGCAGAGGGAGTTTTAGAGGGGAATGTCAAGGTTACTGATCCAGAGGGGCTACTGGTACAACAGCTACAAAAACACTTCCCTGCTTCTGGGAATTAAATGATTTCTAATGCAAATATTTTATTTCAAAAAGAATTGTCCATTTTCAAAACTGTTCCATGTTGCTGACCTACATGGAGCACCTGCTGGAATGTATTGGTTATACAGAGACCTGAATTTAGGTCACTGGCTGCTAGATTATATTTCTAAATCAGACAAGTAGTTGTCTTTTAAGTTAAAAAAACCCACCAAAAACCGAACACAAAGCCCCACCCTAAAGCCTTTTTTAACTTTGCAAGTACAGCTTCCTCTGTCGATGCAGCTTGAAGCTCTGCTCAGACTCTTGTTTAGCAGTGCCAGCTGAAGTGGGTCAGGCGTGTCCCATTCTGGTTGTCTGGGACTGCACAGCATCGCACCTGGCAGTGTGCAGGGCTCACCACAGAAATCTTTATTTGTGTGCAGGTGGTTAATCAGCTGTGATAGAAAACAGAAGAACAGAGACTTCACTAATGGGAAGTTTTCAGCACAACGTTTTTACCTTGTACAGCTCTTGCTGGTGCAGCTGCTTTACAGAAGAGCTGTGTTAGGAAAGGTCATGCAATCCAGGGTGATCAAATTACCCCCAGTCAGCAGGAACACCCGAACTAGATGCATGTTTCTGGCGCTCTCCAATTGTAGGCTAAATCATGGGTAGTTTAAACCTGGGCACAAAGCTTTGGTTGGTATGACCGTACCCATTAAAAAATGTGTGTGATTATTAAATGTGATTTTTTTTTTAAATTTTTTTTTTTTTAACGTGTTAAATGGGCAGCATGTGTAGGTGTGACATTGCTGGTCCTGTGACTCCTTTAAGCTCTGAATTCTTACTGTGACTAATAATAATGTGTAAGCTAAAATTACTTGGGGATTGCCATTCATACTGACTAACGTTGAGCTTGTATTTTAAGTAATCAGATTTCAATTTTTTGAGCTGCTTACAGTGATATGGACGTTTGGAATTTTTTTGTAATATTAGTTTACTAACTTAAACATGGTTTGTTTTTTCAGACAACTTGATTTTAAGAAGAACGGTACAAATGTAAGGTTTCAAGTCTGCCTGGGCTAATTCTTCAAGTAAAAAGCAGAAGGGCTAAAAGGATATTGTCCTTATTTGAAGGATCGGAAACATGTGAACCTATGATGCTATTATATTATTTAAACAGAAATTCCACCAAGAAATTCCTGACGCACAAAACGAGACGTAGCTGTTGCCTAAAGGCCTTAACTGTCTGGTGTAGCACTTTGGAGACTGTGGCATTATGTACTACATGCTGTGCACATAACACTATTTTTTCTCCCCCTAGACTTGCAGTAGTGAATCTGGTCTCGAAGGGCTTAGGCATCTCCAGAACACCTCGTGTGACGTTGTAGGTCACTGTGCCTCACACCTCCCATTTTGAGGATAGCTGTTGAGACAAACGCAGCTCTTTCTTGGTGGTTAATTAAAACTGTTTTCATAATATGATGGTCTGGATGCAATTTTGGAAGATACTCTGCAAATACAAAAGGAAGTCTTTAAGGATAAAATATGACTTTTAGCTGTTTGCAAACAAGTTGTCTCTTTGCAATTGTCTATTATATGCACAGCAGCCAGTAGAATTCCCCTTTTTATTTTTTTTCCCCGCAGACCATCTTGATTCAAAACATCTATCGTAACCCCCAAAACAGTGCACAGACGGCTGACGGCTCACACTGTAAGTCCCACAGTTGGAGAAATTTTTTTAAAGAATGGTGTTAAAGAGCCCACTCCTAATTATGAGAAAATAATGTTGGCTCCTGAGCTGCTGACATAAAGCTGTTGCAAACAGGACAAGTGATGGAACTCTTGCGCACAGATCAAGAATTTGGGGAACGTGTGCGATTCCAAGTGCAGAAGTGGCTGCATAAATTGGACTTGATGCAGGTTCCCTTTTGTGTTGCAAAGTGAAGCTGGATTTCTCAGTAACACTGCCGTTTTTTTAAAGGGTTGAACTGCAGACATTCCTCAAATTCTTGATTTAACAAAAAAAAATTAAAAAAAAAATTAAAAAAATAGGTATATATGTGATGTACGGTAAGTTCCCCAAAACTGGGTTTTCTTTCATCTTAACTTTTTTAGGAAAATGGAGATTTCATGTTATGCTGTAATTATTGTATTGCTTCCTTTCCTGCTAAGAAACCATTCAGTAAAACCAAATTGGAATTACTGTGCTTGTAATGTAAATGGTGTGTGGATGCCACCTATTACAGAGCTGTCTGAATTCATGCAAAACTCCTCTAGTAATATTGGTGAACGGAATAAAATACAATAATGGAGTGTCATGAGATCTCTATTACTTTACAGTGTTAGGTTGATTTAGAAAGGTCACCAGCTAAGCAAAAGTTCTCCTTCTTGGGAGAGAATAACCACCTCTCTTTCAGCACAGACTCGGCCAAAGCGACCCTAAAGGAAACCAGTTTCTTGTTAAAATTATTTTCCATAATATAAAGTTGTTGCGTTTTGTATTTCAGACCATTGCCCTCTTGAACATTTACCGTAACCCTCAAAACTCTTCCCAGTCTGCTGACGGTTTGCGCTGTAAGTTCATACAAGTTCCTTCACTGGTTCCCTGGGCTTGATTGTCAGAGCTCAGTGTCGACTTAAGCTGGTCTGCCATTTTAGTTTAACAGATCAAACTGACCACGTTTCGTTAAATGTGTTCAAAACAAACACAAAAAAAAAAACCAGGAAAAAAAAATAATTTTTTTTGTCCCACTCACCTTCCTCCCTACTCCCAAAATGATGAGGGGAATCTGAATACCAACTACTAAATCCAAAAGGGTTGAAATTGTACTTCCCCAGTGAAGCAGTCTTGGTTGCACTGCTTTCTTCCTGTCACCTTTCTCCCTGCCAGTTGCCTGCATCCTACGAATGGTTTTCTGTATGTTTTGTGCTATCCGTTAGGTTCCACTGTCCAAAGAGCAGGACAATGACACATTGACTTCATCCAGAACAAATTTCCTGCTCTGTAAACGTTAAGAGAACTTGAATTTGAAACTTCTCAGACTGCATGCAGAAATTTGTCCCAGGTTAATGCAACTTCCATTTAGGGAGTGCACTTTAGAATATACCATGACTGACAAACGCTTCCCTTCTGGCAGCTGTCCTTTTTGGATGGGTGCGTGCTTAAAATTCCTTCCGTGCTTCGAAAATTCAAATTCCAAAGCCAAGTGGCGTATTTACCTAAGAAAAAATATTTTTAAAAGTACTTTTGAGGAGGGGAAGGCATTTGGGTATGGTCATGAAGTAATTTAATGACTCCTCCTCAGAAAAAAATGGGCATAAAAGCAAACGCACCTCCTGTGAGACTGGCAGCAGTTAATGACCAGGACTGATCGGCGAGTACTGATAGATATATCAGTGTAACTGAATCATCAATATTAGAATAAGATTTATAAAAAAAAAAAAAAAAAAAAGTCTTAGGACCAAAAAAGGGTCGGTGTTCTTTTCTAACTAATATTTCTTGTTGAAGTGAGTATTGACTGTGTGGTAATAAAGCTTTGTTTGGCTATTCCTTTTTTTTTTGACTGTTGGATTATAGACTAGTTCAGATTAGTTACCAGCATTTGATTAGAAGTGCCTTGTGAAATCAGCCACTAACTTAAAAGTCAGCACTGCCTCTCCTGCTTCTAAAAGTAATGATGGCTCAATTAAATGATTTGAGGTGTTGTCACACTAGACATGCAACGGGCTGTGTAATTTTGTCTAGATGCTTAAACAGTTCTATTGGTTTGTAGGCTCTCTTGTTGCAGATGCTTAGTAGTTAACGCTGTTTCAGGAGACCACAAAATTTCCAGTTGGGTATTTCCACTGTTTCCCTAAACTCTCAATGCGCTGGTAACTAATTTGCACAGAGTGACAGCAGTTTGGTCTGTGGAGCTGTTTAGATTTACAGCTGCAAGAGTCCTGAACAGATTCTCCAGTGTTGCAAATGCTGGTATCCAACTCTTAGTTTGTCGTGACAAGCGAGTAGCTGTGTACCAGAGCCTCACTGTACCTCCTGGGGTACAGCTGGAGCTCTGCAAGCAGTAGATTTGCTGGAACTCCTGGCTCCTTGTTACTTTGGTATTTGTCCCTACTTAAGTACTGCATGTATTTTCAATGGATAACTTTGGGTAGCTATTTAATGCTTTGTCGTTGTTGCTTAACTGTCTTCCTTTCTATTGCCGTCGTAGAGGATTAACCTTAGTTTTGAACAGCAGTAGTTTTCCTGAGTATTTTAATTAGTAACTGGGGCTTCTCAAGGTTCAGATACCAGTAGCCCTGGAATAATATGGATGTTTGTAAAGCCTGTGCATATGTATGCTTCCCACTTTAGAAGGACATTGAATTAGTCATTAACTAACTGTTGCTTATGATCTCTTAATTTGACAATGGAATCTCCTTAAAAGTTTTTGACACTTGTCCATCTGGTAACAAGTCAGTATTTCCAAAGTGGCTCACAGAGCCCCTGTCTGATACCTTTAAAAACAACAACAACAAAAAAACCTTAGATATTAGTAAGCTGTTATCAGTGGTGTTGGCAGAACCTTGAGAATATAGTTAAGTATTAAACTGCCTAGAAATACTGGTTTAATGTTTGATATTCCTTAATTTGCAGTATAACCATGGGGAAGGAGAAATTTCTTAAAAGCAAATAACGTTTCAAATGCAGAGACATTGTTAGCCTAAACTATAACCAAATGCTCCTGAGCCTCTCCTGGAGGTGAGCTGGGTTGGAAGAACAGGACCTGAGTTCCAGAGAATGTGGCTGGTTAATATTAGAGCCTTTGAATAAAAATGTAAACTTTGTCCAAGTTGTAATAATAGCCAAAAATGACTGAGCCCAAAGCATATATTTTTTTTTTTTCATAGCAGCCTGAAAGTGAATAAACTTTGCTTTATTGGCTCAGATTTTTGTCTTTCTCGTTTCTGTGAACTAAAGCAGCAATGTTTCTAATTTAAACACCAGCATATTTTTCTAGCATAAAATGCAGGGGTTGTTTTAAAACAGCTCCGCTTGATCTTAATAAGCCACTTAATTGCTGAAGAGTTAATACATTAGGCTTTAATGTATACAGCTTGTTTAAAGTGCTGCAGACTGGAAGAAATAAATGAAATACATTTTTATACTTCTAGTGCTTTGAAAAATAAGCCAAACTTACATTGGTTTTTGTAGCAGCAGGCAAGCAGCACTCAGTTTTAAAGTCCAGCTTGGAGCATGAAAATAATCTAACCTGAATATGTGGCTAGCTTGTCTTGCACTAAAAGGTGTTCTGCAGGACTACAGAAAAGCTTAAATTATAATCAAAATTAAAATAGAAAATTGCTCTCTCTTGCAAAGCATTATGGTACCCTGCTTTGAGAGCACCCAGAAAAGTGTGTCATTTCAATAACTATTTTGAACAAATTTAAAAAAAAATTCTGGGCTATGTTATATTGTGAACTCAAATTCTAGTGGATATGCTGGAGAGGTGGACATAAAATTCTGCCTTTAGGAAGAGGAACACTAAATTGTAATAATACTTCAGAATATGGAAATGTAACAAAGCACTTGCCTTCTGTTTAGGTAAAATTGTTAGTAGATAGAGAGGGGGACTGTACATTAAATTTAAAGTGATACTTCAAAGGAATTCCTTTCCCCTTCCTTTGAATTTGTGGCATACAAGCTTGGCTCTGATTAAAGCTTGCTTTGATTTGATCATATCAATGTAATGTTTTGACAGATACTTTGGGGACTCAAAGCTCTTCACACATCCTTATTTTTTAATATTCCTGTTAGTTAGCTCCATGCTATATGGTGTCTCTTATGCTCCAGACGGCCTCTCTAGATTGTTTTGTAGTATGATCAAAATCTCTCCTTCCTTGTTGGCAGGCTCTAATCAGTATGACTCTTTGACTTTTGCAGGTGCTGTGAGCGATGTTGAGATGCAGGAACATTATGATGAGTTCTTTGAGGTATGTAAAAATGCATTAAAGTGTTAGTGGACCTGTCACCACAGACAAGTGAAATGGATGTAGTGCATAGCACAGTGAGGTGGATTCAGGCAAAAGCACTTATTTCCTCAGGTGTTCATATAAAACTGACAGCTTTATTTATTTAGCAGTGCTAAATAGCTCCTGGTGTAACCTTTGGTTAGTTTAGCTTTAACTTTTCTGTTTGAAATAGACTTTAATCAAAATCAGCAGCTTAAGCAATGTAGCATTTTGATTCTATAACCTGCTTCCTTTTTATGAATTCAAAATATACTTCATTATTTATACAGAAAGAAAGTGAAACTACAGCATCAAAGTTTATGTGTTGTGTTTTCAGTGCATCTTACGTATTGTGTAAATACTGTTTGCATAATGTTTTCCATAGGTTTTTGTTGTATCTTGTTAGTGCTGTACCTACAGATGGACACGGTACAGGCCAAGCAAGTACTGACTTTAAAATCAGAAATATAAAAAACATGCTGATTTCGCTTTTTTTCACTGAGGAAAAGTTGTCTTTCATGCTCACAGCTAAACACAACATTTCTGTACTTAGAACTGATGTGCTGCAAACGTGTAATGGGTTTCTCTTGCTTAGGAGGTCTTCACAGAAATGGAGGAGAAATACGGTGAAGTTGAGGAGATGAACGTGTGTGATAACCTTGGAGATCATCTAGTTGGAAATGTATACGTAAAGGTAGGATAAACAGGCATCTCTGTGTAATCACTAGGGGTGGGGTTTGTTGATTTATAATTTTAAAAGCTACTGTATGATTTAGAGTTTGCAAGAGAAGCTTCCGAAGTCATGATTTAAAGTGGAGTGAAAATGTGAAAGGAATCTGAAAGAAATTTTAATAAATGATGAGAAACTTACTTGATTGTCAAAATCTGTAATTTTCAGAAAGATTAACACTTGTTTTTTTAGCACAGTTATGAACACTGTATTGCTGGGCTCTTTAGTTTGGGATTAATTTGGGATTTGTCTTACCATCATGTTGCCCTTTAAGCACTTTGTTATGAGAGAGGTTTATTTGCAGCAGGTGCATTTATTTTTTAACTTCCCAGTTAAACACAGTATCCTATAATCCTGTAATATTTGGCACTAGCTGTGTGGTTTAAGGTACAAACTGGAGCACTTGGGTTTAGCTTTTAAAAGGTATTGATATCTCTTGAATAACTAGTACAAAGTTGTCACCTGGAGGAATTTTATTGTGTGGGCACAGTGTTGGGGAGGTGTAAGAAAGTTTGTTTGAATATTTGAACCGTGCATTCCCTTAACTGGAAAGTATTTTCACACCTGTATTGGTCATAATCAGAACTAAAAGTTGTTTTTAAAGATTTGCAAGTGGTTAGCTGTGAAAAGGTGTTTCAAATGTTTTACACTCATCATAAAACAGGATCAGATTTTTGTAAATTGTGATCTAAATGAATGAGAACTCCAGTTCTCATGCAGATCTCTCTTAAATGTTTGAAGAAATGTATTACATCAGGAGTGTTGGTGTTCCCGGAAGTACTTGTAAGCATTCTCATGGTTTAAAGCTGTACTAAGAAAACACAGTATCTTTTATTGACCAACTTTTTCACTTGAAGGACCAAAGAGAACATAATTAAGAGGAAAAATCAATGTTTTGATTAGCTCTGAGTCCCATTTAATAAAGAGCTGACATATTTACCCTTGATTTGCTGGACTTTCCCAGGGAACTCTGAAGTAGCTTCTAGTTCCGTGACTGGTCCTGAGCCTCAGATACCGCAGAACTTGATTGGATGGGAATCTTCAACCTACTTCTGTTACTTCTCTGTAGAGTGAGAAAATGTTACTTTTGCTTTTAGTTTCGCCGTGAAGAAGATGCAGAAAAGGCTGTGATTGACCTGAACAATCGCTGGTTCAACGGGCAGCCCATCCATGCCGAGCTCTCGCCTGTGACTGACTTCAGAGAGGCTTGTTGCCGTCAATATGAAATGGGGTAAAGCACTGACTTCCTCTGGCCTTGGCAGTGTCTGAGAAATGTTTGCACAGGCAGGGAGGTTGCTTGGGTGTGGATTTTATGTGTAGCTGAGCATAGGAAGAAAACCACCTCAGGTAACTGTGATGTGGAGGATCTGTGATGAAACGCTTGACTTTTGCCATCTTTTTTTGGGATGACCTAGGAGTGATTCACTGGCAGTAAACGATGGTTGCGATGTGCTGGCTTTTGGGTGGCTAAAAGTCCAAACAGGTAGTGTGGAGCTGGGAATTCTAACTGTGCCTCTTGAACTCTGTTTCAGAGAGTGTACACGAGGAGGTTTCTGCAACTTCATGCATTTGAAGCCCATCTCTCGAGAGTTAAGACGTGAGTTGTACGGGCGTCGCCGTAAAAAGTAAGTTTCTTTTTAAACACCATTAAAATGAGTAAATTAATGATCAGTTGCTGAAATATCCAAAGGCAGATCTTTAAACTTAAGTTCTCCTCTTTTTTCTAATGCACCTTCTGGCACGTGCCAGTGGAAGGGCATCAAGTAAAGCTGACAAGTGGTTTAGAACTAAGGTGTAGGTCTCTAAATAAAAAGTTATGGTGCTTCTTGCTCTGCAGTGCTGTGGGTGCTCAAGGTTGATGTAGCTCTAGGAGAAGGCAGGGTTCAAGGAGAGGAAAATTCGCTGAGTTTACTGAATTTATAGGCCCTGTCTGTGGCTCAGATCTGCAAACTGTACTGAAGGACATTATTTGGGAGAAATTGCTTTATGCCTCTTATGTTTCATTCTCTTCTAGATGTGTCAAACACAGGCTGCTTTGCTAATGGGCATTTTGGCAGCACCAGATTGGCCTCTTTCAGCATTATGTGCAGTCAAGCATATCTATAGATTATACTCAGGACCCAACTCTGTTTGCTTTTAACTGTTAATGGCTGATTTTTGTAGCCTGTATTCATCAGTCACTGTACTGAGCTCACTGTTTATTAATACCAGCCTCACAGCTTGACCCTTCTTGATAGGAATTCTGAGTGGGGAAAAAAGAACAGTAATTTTGTTTAATGGTAAAAAGATGTGAGAAATACATTGTTATATATTATTCATCTAGTGAGGTGCCTTGTAGAAGGGCTTATACCTCTTGCTGTTGCTATGATGGTTCACTTGGAGCTGGATTCAATCTGCATTTAGGACCTTGCTATTTAGTGTAGGCATGGAAAATTGTTGATCTTGCTTTTATCTAGAGCACAATTTTGTAGGTTCCTTTCAGTCACAGAAAGAGCCTGGGATTGTAGATGTGTTTTTCCTATAGATGTCTCTTAATTGGCAGTGTCTCAGAAGTTGTGAGGATGAATTTAACTTTCAAAAACATTGATTGCCTTGCTTAGCCCACATGTATAAGTGCCTAAATACTTTTCCTAAAGCATCCCAATTAATATTAACTTACATGCAAGTTTTTAAGATGTTTGAATTATTCATGAAAAAACAAAGTATGCTTTTTATATTTGCCTCACTGTTACAAATCCAGATCTCTCAGACTTAGTAATGCTGATTTAAAGATACCACCTTTTTTTGCAAGAAAACTGTTTGTTTGGCTTTGGAATATGTTTGTTTTATCCACAGCCCAGTTTCAGTATGTGGTAAAACAAAATAGCTGAATCCTCTGCCCAGTTTTGTTTTTATTGGCCTTATTTGAAGTCTTTGTGCAGCGAAAGCTGTCACAGGTTAGCAGTAAGGCTTGGCATAAAAAATACCATTTCTTGGGTCAGTGGGGTTGCACAGGTAGGTTGTATAAACTAGACTGTCCTGAAAGTAGTTCTGCACAGAGTGAAGTGTGTCAAAAGGGTTTTGAGTAGGAAAAAGAAGGGTAAACCAGAACGTCTGAATAATCAAAGGCAAATTCAACAATTTGGGCCAGCTGAGTGGTATGCAAGAATTAAGTATATGTCTGTCATAGTAAAACTTGTCACCACACATAATCCCACCCCAAAACATCTCACTATGAAACAATATTCTGCAAACTGAAGGCTTTTAGCATTTGTTTCCTTGAGTTTTTTCAGTTCTGCTGTAATTTCTACATATATTTAGAACTGTACTGTTAACTTGTTTTATGCAGTTAATTTTTCTGAAATACTTAAAGGCACTGAGAAGTGACATGACATACAAACCATAAATCCACAGTAGCTCTGTTAGCAGGATGGAATGGATGGTTTTAGCTTCATTCCTGAATTTTTCCTCTGCCTCAGAGGCAGGGAAGGTGATTTGCCAGTGCTGATGGCTTGGGGGGGAGGGCATGATGTAGAAAAAAGAGGGGGAAACAATCACAAAGAACTGAGTTGTAATTGCTAATTAATGAAATTGATTTAATATGAGTGGACTTAATAGCAGCTTTAGGCTTTTGGCATTCAGAGCTGTTCCTGTCTGCCAAAGCAGGTGTCCCTTTCTCCTGCTTCTTTAATTAACAGCTGTATAACAGTGCCTTGGTTCCTCTCCTTGCCCTTCCTTAAGGTGTGCAGATCCACTGGAACAGGTGACTGCAGGGAACAGTCCGTTCTTGTTCCAGTGTGCGTTGACTCCCTGGTATTTAAAGTTTGAGCAGTTTGTAAATCCGTGGTTTCTCATCCCGAGTGCCAATTTAACCAATCCTTATAACGACACGCTGCCTTTCTCCTCCTTTATCGCTCACATCCTTAATTAAGCGTGGTGCTGCAAGTGAACTGCTGGCTGGGATGAGACAGTAAAACATTCAACTTTTTCTGTGCAGGCATCGGTCCAGGTCGAGGTCCCGTGAGCGCCGGTCTAGATCCAGAGATCGCGGCCGTGGCGGCGGCGGCGGAGGAGGCCGCGAGCGCGACAGGAGGCGGTCGCGAGACCGCGAAAGATCCGGTCGATTCTGAGCCATGCCATTTTTACCGTATGTCTGCTAGAAAAGTGTTGTAGTTTGACCAAACAAAGTTCATAATGACGTTTTTTTTAAAGATGGGCTTCTGAATAAAAAAATTTGTAGTGATACAGTATTCTTTGTGTAACTTGTTTCTTGTTGGGGGGGAGGTCTTTTTAACTGTCATTCCTCTATCTTGACAAATACCTGGATTAACTCTGCCTGAGGAAAAGGTGGTAAATGTGTTGGAAGAGCGCCAGTTTTGGTTTGGATTTTTTTTTTCCTTTTTTTTTTTTAATTATTCGGGTATAATTTGAACTGTTGATGCAAATGTATGTGTATATAATATAAAATATATTATATACATAGTAAAAATAATATACTGCTTAAGAAACAGTTACTCACATAAATTTCCCTTTTCTGCTATGCTGTCTGCTTATTTAGGTTAGTTTAGGCACATTTAAGAGGAAGGCTGTGCGAAACGCATTTATTTACCGAGTAGAAACGCTTAGTTACAAAAATGTATGTTTGTTTGTTACCAGAAGTCTGTGCTCTGTCTATCAATGTGACTGTGGCATTTACAATAAATCCAATTTCTTGGTGTAAAATCTAAAGCCTATTTTCTAAGCACTCCGGAGTAGTTGAGTTGCTACTCCTGGCTGCCTATTTTCTAAGCACTCTGGAGTAGCTGAGTGGCTGCTCCCAGCTGTGCCAGAGTTCATAGTTCAGGTTTTTATAATTCTTGACTAAATTCCTTGTCTTTGGCTGGAAAGAAAGTTGCCTAGTGTAGTGTGGAAAAAAAAGTAATATTTTTATTGCGGTGATTCGTAATAGGCAGGTGAGGGTTTTGTGAAAAAAGAAACCACCAAAATTCTGCTCCATGCAACATGATACAGAAGTGCTATTGAAGGAAATGCAAGGTCCTAAATACAAGGATTGAATTTCTTAGCTAATTGATATTTTTTTTTCAATCTATTCTCTCTTACCTGTCATGTAAGAAGAAGCATTTTGTTAGTGTTCAAGGTCATAGGAAACTAACTGGATGCTAGTGGAAAATAAATCTTTTTTTCCACCTTTTACTTGCTTTCTGATAGTCTGGAGGGTGATAATGGTCAGTTTTCACTTTCTTCACAAATTGTTTTTCTGAGCTTGAATTGCACAATCGCTGAACATCGCAGGTTGTGTCTCAAAGCGTTAAAGCTCCAGTGGAAATGTTGGAACATCTTCAGAGGCAGTTGGTACAAAGGCTGAGTTGCAGTTTCACCTCATTCATGTCTGCTGTTATTCAAAGTGTAACACAGCAAGAAGTTCTGGTCAGTGATCATATTTCTGCAAGATATGACTTTATGTGCACAAAGCTGTGTGATACCATGCAGTTTTCCAGTGGGGGAAGGAATTTATTAGAGCTTTATTAGTTCTGAGCCAGATAACTTGCTGAATGATGAATCTGCAACGTGATGATTATTAAATAAAAAGAAAAAAAGGAAATAGAAGGGATATGGATTCATCACATAGAGGCAAAGAGAAGCTGGTTTGTTAATCTAAGTATAAAACCATTTTGCTCACTGGAACATGGAAAACAAAATAACATTGAAAAACTAGCTTTTTTTAAATGAATCTTCTTTGCTTATTACAACTCAATTCCTGCACCAGTTCAGTTTGAATTCATTTTGTTTCCACTGGATGGTTTGGCCAACCACACTGTGGAACTTCAGTTTGCCAGGAAGGACCCTTTTTGGAGAAATACCACTCAAGCAGTTGAAGCTTGACGTCTCCACGTGATGTTCTGTTAAGTCTGTAAAGGAAATGATGCTTTCTTTCTACTGTAAGAAATTGAACAGTGCCTGGCATTAAATGGCTGAACTGAAATGTATTTCTCCTAGGCATTAGCAATTTCAAATTGATAATTCAGTTCTTGCTGTTTATGGGATATTAATCCTGTTGCTTTTCTTTTTTTTTTTTTTCTTCAGTGAGATTCAGGATTATTAGTGAGCTAATTCAAATCTTAAACTCCAAAAGGTGAGGATAGTCTTTCTGTTTTGTTTTTCTTCAAACAGTATGAAGTACAAAGGGAATACTGTTTAAAAGGTTTAAGATCATTTTTACACAGATTAATGACACAAACTGATTTGCCCTATAAACAAGTTAGTCTAAAACAATACAAATGTGTCCCTGTAATGGCTTTAATCTGTTTATCTAAACCCTGTTAGTCTGCAGGTATATTTTTGCATGAACAGATAGTGGAAGGTTGATTTCTCTCTCTTCCCCAATACCATTTTGCTTAAGAAAGCACTCCTGAATTCCACCAAATGTGTAATTGTATGATCTGATTGCGTGGCTGCCCAAAAATTAGCAATGTAACTGGAACACATCAGGATGGGCACTGCAAGCTGTGGATTTTACTGGATATTCTAATGGGTGCCTAGTGACAGCATTCAGCATATAAACTAAGCTCATGACATATCTTGTTAGGTTCACGTTTCAGGACTGTACTACCAGCAAAGTTCATCAAATTTGAAATTTAAATTACTCCAATTTGGTTAAACATTTATATGTGATAATCCCAGAAGTGGAAATTCTACCTCCCCCTTCTCTTGTTGCTCACAATGTCTTTAAGATTTATTTTTTTCCCCTCCTCCCCAAGGTACCTACTTTCCAAATATTTCATTGTTGACTCTTTCTGTTGAACAGTGGATCTTAATTTATGAAATTCCTTTACCTCAAATAAGGGACAGCATACAGGATTTTCTGAAGTCTGAGTCAATTAGGTTGAAACTGTTCATCCCAAGTGGCTTCCTCTTCTTTGTATTTGGCTCTTATTCTGTGAAAATGCTGCTTGTCCATGAATATGATGTATGTTGAGACTGTAAAACCAAATGGAGAAAACTTGTTCAAAATAAAGCCTTTTTTTTTATAAGAGTCTGACAAAAATTATCCCTTTCCTTTAGATGGGATGCTGCTGTCTAAATGACTGGTGAGGACATACACCAAGTTTCCAATTCTTCACTCTTGAGCTATTTTTTGAGCAATTCTTTGTCTTCCGTTCTTCAGAGCTGGTGAAGCATGTCTTCAACTAAAATAACCCCAACCTCTCCATATTCACTCGGTAAAGTTGAATATCAGAAGAATGCAACTTGGGGTCAGGACTTGGGGTGTTTTGGTTTGGGTTCTTTTAATTGGTAAGGGTTTTGGCTGAGAGATCCTGCAGGTTTCTGTTGTGGTGGTCCATGGAAGACAAGAGGGCTATTTTTGGCAGAAGAAACGTGTTTAATTGAAGAAATGAGGAATGGAAAAGGGGTCATGGCTTTTAAAGATGATTCCCCTCCTGGTGTTGCATTGCTCAAGCTACAAAACTTGGGGTGTTAAGGACTGTGCCCAGTGCTGGTGTTGTACAACAACACCTTACACTGCATCTGCTGTCTTTAATACATTAGAAGTGAAGCTGCTTTCATAGCAGCTGTGAGGTGGGTATGGGTAAATCATTCCAACTGCAGCTGCACTAAAGACTTCCTAAAAGCAGTCCTGTTCAGGAAAAGTTCGAGCTGAAAAACAGAACCGAGTTGATGCTTCATTTCAGCTGGTGAGGCTGTGACAGAAGAGAATATTTGTAGCTGCATTTGCCACTTACTGCAAAGGCTAAAGCTGAGCTTCAGCTTCTCCAGCTGTTACTGGAAAGAACAGTTTTACCCTTGGGGTGAATTAATTGCAATTTAAAATATCAAACTTGCATCCAGATGCCTGTAGATTTAATCAGATTCATGTTGAATTGATACACAGGTATTTCTGAATTCCATCGGTTTAACCAATGTTGCTTTCTTAACGAATCACAGAATGGTTTGGGTTGGAAGGGAAGTTAAAGGTGATTGGGTTCCACCCCCCTGCCATGGGCAGGGACACCTTCCACTAGAGCAGGTTGCTCAGAGCTTCATCCAATCTGGGCTTGAACGCTTCCAGGAATGGGAAGTCCGTAGCCTCACTGGGCAGCCTGTGTTGCACTGTCACAGTGCTGAGGGTGTTTCCAAATAATTTTTTTTTGCAGTTTTCATTTTGTTCAATCCACACGTATGGACAACGGAGCACGTCTCCTCAACTCCACAGGCAGTCCTTCCGTGGCAGCGATGTGCTCATCAGTTACAAACCTCTAATCCCCTGTTAATCCCTGTCGTGTTTTGTTTCTTATAAAACTAAAACCTTCAGCAAGAAGAGCCACTGGTGAGAGGACAGCGCTGTCCCACCCTGCAGCCCCACGGTACTGCAGCAGCACAGCTGCTTTAGGAGCCCCCTGTTTTCCTGCTGGTGGTTACTGCCAGAAATGGTGTTAATTCAATCGATCTCAAGTTTCAACTGTAATTTGGATGTGTGGAATCGGCTGGAATGGTGGAAGCCAACAAACCAGCCCTGCTGCCAGCAGACCGGCTCCGGTAGCCAGCGGTTTCCTTTCAGCTCATGGAAAGCAGGGTGGGGGGAAGGGTGTGCTTATCTCTGTTCAGATGCAACAGCCGCCTCCTCGGTGCCCTGATAAACATTGGGTTCGGTGCTTTTGCATAATTTCAGTTTTGGTATTTGCTTTTGAACTAGATTGTTTTGACAGGACAGCTGATGAAGTGGTGGGATGGTGGGGGGAGTGGTGGGAGGCAGCAGCTGGAGCCCTGCAGGAGCTCGTGTGTGAGTGGCTACTCCTTTAATCCAACCACCTGAACAGCATTCAGAGCTCTGTGAGCTGTTCCCACGAGGAAATGACTCTGATCCAGGTGTTCCTTTGGGACAAACCCTTGCGTTCCTGACCGAGGCCTGCAGAGCACTTTTTTCCTGAGCACTGTAAGCTCAGGGCACTATAGGTCACTTCCAGCTCTCCATTTCCAAGACCACATGTGTAGATGGGTCTGGAGGAAAAAAAAATCAGTTTCTGCTTTGGCTTCAGTGAGCCATGAGACAAAGTAGAGGGAGAGGCAGCAGGGAGCACTGGAGCCGATGTCCCTGCCTCTTTGGTTTTTTGTGGAAAAGCTTTTAGTCCGCCAGGCCTAGGCCTGCTGTGCTTTTGTGCAGCACCTGGCCTGATTTCAAGTCTCACTACCTGTGCAGCTGAATATTGGATTGTGTTTCAGATCCTTCTCACTTTCTTCCTGGAGCCGTCTGGGATTCTGGCCAGGCAGAGGGAGGGAACTGCTCCCGCTGCAGCCTGTGCACCAGCCTGCCTCCTGGGCCTGGGAGCTGTGGGGAGAGCCAAGGGGAACCACTGCTCCTCCCTTCTCTACCCACCCATTTTCCTTGAGAGCTAATACTGCTCGTGTCTGAGAGAAAGACGCGAGAGAAACTTCACAAATCAAAGCAGTCCTGCAACTTCCATCATTCCTTCTTCCTTGCTCTCTAGTGAACAAGGAGGATTCTTCCTCTTGTGTTGGAAGAAAAGAAGTCCTGGAGCCGCATAAGGACGAGATTTGATAAAGAGACTCCGAGGCAGGACATGAAGAACTGATTTCTGGACAAACCATAAGGGGAGAGTGAGCTGCCAGCCTTCCTGCCTGGGGGATTGAGTGAAACATTAATTGTTGCACTACTGGACTGGGGATGGGCAAGGGAAATTCCAAAGTCTAAGACAGGCCAAAATCTGCCCAAGTAATACTCTCATTAATGTCTGGGCCATTCTTTCCATTCTGGAGGGGTTTGGCTCGTTATTTTTTTAACCTTTCAGGTGACCATGTTGACCACAACAAAGAGAAATTTAATTGCCCTCCTTGCTCAGCCTCCAAGGATGGAAGCCTTCAGTCTTTGGGACAACTCTGAGGTTCTCAAACACACGTGTGGTGGCAGCTGTTCACAGCTTACAGAAAAAACATCTTCAGCCAAGGGAACAGTGCAGAGTGAGCAGCAGGTTATGTCATCCTTGTAGTCCTGATAGGTGATCTGAGCAAGGTTTCTGACTGTCTCCGTTTTCTCTGAACAACTTCACTTCCTTCAGTCTCTACTCCTGGGCCAGGTTTCTCTCTACACTTTGTGCTCCTCCGGCCACATCCCACCTGGGCCATGGCTTTTTTGAAATGCAGCGTTCCAGATGGGACACGATACCTCAGCAAAGCTTGCCAGTGCCTAGGGTGCCATGTGTCCTGTTTGCATAACCCTGCACCCTGTTTGCTTTTTGCACAACGGCAGGGCCCTGTTGACTCACATGGAGCTTGCCTGGCACTGCAGTCATATCTTTCACTCCACACAAGTACTGTCCAGATAGTGGCTACTCGAGAAATTTTGCGGTCTGGCTGTAAAATTTTGTATTTGTCCTTATCAGCCAACTTCCTATTTTGCTTCCTCATCTCATTTCCAGTCTGCCCAAGATCATTTTGAAGTCTGTTCTCCAGATTGTGGCCTCTTGCATGCAGTTAAAATATGGAGTGGCTCTTCCCCAACTGTGTTTTCTTCCCTTTGCATAAGAACGTTTCTATGAGATTGTGTGATAGCCTTGTGCTCTCCTATCCCAAAAGGGCTGTGGTAGCAACAAAACTCCCATGGTTCTTGGAGTGCCTTCATTAGCTGGTCACAAAAAGCCTCCTCCACGTGATCTTCCTCCTTCAGTGATCCTACCACAACAGCATTTGTGTTTTTTTCCTCTCCCTTTGATCACCAACTGCACTGGTCCACGGAATCTCTCTCCTCAGCCTTTGAGCCTGCAGCATGTTTACTCGTCACTGATAGAAGAAACATCATCCTCTGCTTGCCACTCCTAAACAAGCTGTTTATTTCTATGTTAATATTTCAGTTGGTGTCACATCACCGCTACACTGATCAGATCACAGTTTTGATTTTATCCCAACCCTCACTGCAGCTCCTCTTGTTCCTTGCAAGAGAAATAAACCCAAGCACTGTCAGATCTCAAGAAATGGACGTGGTAGTGACGTGCTGATTCATGGGACTTATTCACAGTGCTGGGTTGAAGAATAATCTATGTGTCCTACTGATTGGGATTGGCTCAGCCCTAATGGATCTAATTAGTGGGCAATAGAGAAAAGCTCTGTGTGTTCATTCCCAGGCACCATGACTGATTTTAATGCCATAATGCCCATGGCACAGTGTGGGTTGGTGTTGCTCTGGAGACCTTTGAAGTCAGTTTATTCTGTAAATCAAAACTCCCATATAGTGGAAAGGGACTTTTCACAAGGGCATGTAGTGATAGGATAAGGGGGAAAGGCTTTAAACTGAAGGAGGGTGGGGTTAGAATAGATACTAATAAGAAATTCTTTACTCCGAGGGTGGTGAGACACTGGCACAGGTTGCCCTGAGAAGCTGTGGACTCCCCATCCCTGGAAGTGTTCAAGGCCAGGTTGGATGGGGCTCTGAGCAACCTGGTCTAGTGGAAGGTGTCCCTGCCCATGGCAGGAGTGTTGGAACAAGAGGATCTTTAAGGTCACACATCATGTCAGATAATTTCCAACATGCCTGGCGCCATCACTTGGTCTTGCAAGTCTCCTCTGAGGCATCCCTCTCACATTTATCAGGATCTGGCATATCCATCTGTGCTGATGGTTTCATATCTCGGCACCCATCCACCTGAAGCTGCAGTGGTTGCTGCAAGGCTGGCACTTCTTCAGAGAGAACAGCTGACTCAGTGCCTCTTCTCCAGTCCCTCCTGAGAGGCATGAAAGGTATGGTTATCCCTCCTTGGATACTCTGTGTGGGCACAACTGCAGTTTGCAAATGCACCCCTACTGTTCCAAATATTCACGGATTTTTGCTTAGCTCGTGCTTGCCTCACGTGTGCCCTGGTGCCTCATGGTTTTTCTGATACCCATATCAGGGGCCAGGCCTTCTTGGCATCCCTGTTTTCACGCTCTGCATTCCCCTTCTGCCATTCCATAATTTAGCTACACCAAACACAAGCTACACTCTGTTTCCACATGTTTTTCCAGTTGATGTTTTTATTTTGGAACTAACTTGTTTGTTGAGTTACTTGTTTGTTGCAGTTACTGGTACAAACCTCACTTTATGTGCATATTTCAGATGTAACTACCTAAGCAAACTGCAATTTAATGCAAATAGTTGTCCTGTTTAAGAACAATATTTTCTACTAACTCTTTCTTTAGGAAAATGAGAACATGGAAACCAAAAGTAGGTTTGCATCTACTTCCACCCAGAAAGGGACTGGGAAAAAGCAGTGTAATTTCAATCAGGAGCTCGATTTTGACAATCCTCGTGGGTCCCTCCCAGCTCAGAATATTCTGTGGTTCTGTAATTTGTTATCAGTGTGGAGGTTTCTCTGCAATTTGTGTGGATTTTTAACATGTGTAATGAAACAGCTGCTTCAGTGCCTCTACTTAAGGCAAATATAAAATATCTGGCTCTTCTCTTTAATTGTTCAGTGGTTTTCCTGTGGGTTTGTTTGTTTGTTTTCCTAAATTTCACCCCACGTTCTAGTCACAGCCCAGCTTCTTACCAGAGAGACCCTTGACCTTGTAATGCTGAAACTGGTCACTCAAGCTTCAGACCAGTCACATCCAGTTGTGAAGCCTCTTCTGTCACTTTTACCACTTGATTAAAACATCCCGTTTCTTATTTTTGATATTTATACAGAACGCAATACTCTCCAAGTAGCTCTCCTACACAAGCATGTGTATGTGCAGATGGGGACACACAGCTGCCTCCACTCCTTCGATTACCTAAAACACATGGAACACTTCAGGGTGAATCATGTTCTAAAATAGACCTCCTTGAATTGCTTTTCTCTTTATTGGTACTTTTTATAGATACAGAAGAAATTGCTGCTTGGATTTTCCCACAGCCACAGGCTGCGATCTCGAAGCATTTCTCTCTGGTGTGCCTTTCCAATACCCCCTGCTTTCATGCAAGAACTGCTGTTTTGTTTTGTTTTGTTTTAAACTTACTCCGTAATTTAGAGTACCTTGTTGTTGTGAAGAATTACTCTGGCACAGTTTGCATGGAGTGCGTTAAATCCACCTGCATCCCGTGTTGTACATCACCAAGCTCTGTTCACAACAGCTGTGGATGCAGCTGTTGTGGCACTGAGTGACTTCCCAGGTGAACACCTTGTCACCTTATCAGACACCATCAGAATGGCCTTAAGCTGAAGGAGGGCAGGGTTAGAATAGATCCTAGGAATAAATTCTTTACTGTGAGGGTGGTGAGGCACTGAAACAGGTTGCCCAGAGCAGCTGTTGACTCCCCATCCCTGGAAGTGTCCAAGGCCAGATTGGATGAAGCTCTGAGCAACCTGGTGTAGTGGAAGGGTGTCCCTGCCCATGGCAGGGTTGGAACAAGATGATCTTTAAGGTTCCTTCGAACCCAAACCATTCCATGTTTCACCAGCCTCCTTGCCCTGGGATGGGCATTTCCAGGGCTGCCTGGACCTCTCTCCCCCTGTTGCTGTCCTCAGCAAGCTGAGATGGGACTCACACTGCCAGCACAACCCTGAGGTCTTTTTTGGGGGAGCACCTGTCTGCTGCCCCATGCAGCTCCCTCACAGGGCCCCCCAAAACAGACAAGGAGCTGCTACCACAGGCTGTGCTCAGGAGCCACCAGCAGCCACACGTGTGTCCCCTACGGCCACTGCCCAACGGGTACGTGAGTAAAACACCTTCAAAGGTCAGGGCCTGGGTAGAGCCCTGGCAGAGCCCTCTCTCCAGGGTCACACAATCAATTAGGCTGGAAAAGACCTCTGAGGTTGTCAAGTCCAACCTCTGAACACCACCTTGTGAACTAGACCATGGCACTGAGTGCCACAGTCAGTCCCTCCAGCGATGGTGACCCCACCACACCCCTGGGCAGCCCATTCCGATGTCGAATCACCCTTTATGTGAAGAAATTCTTCCTGATGTCCAACCTAAACCTCCTCTGGCATACCTTGAGACTGTGTCCTCCTGTCCTGTCACTGGCTGCTGGGGAGAAGAGGCCGAGCCCACCTGGCTACAACCTCCTCTCAGGGAGTTGCAGAGAACCACAAGGTCTTCCCTGAACCTCCTTTTTTCCAGGACGAGCCCACCCAACTCCCTCAGCTGCTCCTCACAGGACTTGTGCTCCAGACCTTTCACCAGCTCCACTGCCCTTCTCTGGACTCGCTCCAGCCCCTCAATGTCCTTCCTGACTTGAGGGACCCAGAACTGGACACAGTTTTGGGAGACCCTGTGGATAAACCCAGATATATCCCCCCAATTCTCCTCAGCCACCTGGGCACTGCTGGACATCCCTGGACATCCCTGGGCATTGATGGACTCCACTGGACACCACTGGACATCCCTGGGCATCGATGGACTCCACTGGACACCACTGGACATCCCTGGACATCCCTGGGCATTTCTGAGCACCACTGGACACCGCTGGACATCCCTGGACACCGTTGGACATCCCTGAACACTGCTGGACACCACTGGACATCAATACACATCACTGGACACTGATGGACACTGATGGACATCCCTGGACACCGCTGGACATCCCTGGACATCCCTGAACACAGCTGGACACCACTGGACATCAGTACACATCACTGGACACTGATGGACACAGCTGGACATCCCTGAACACTGCTGGACACCACTGGACATCAATACACATCCCTGGACACTGATGGACACCGCTGGACATCCCTGGACACCGCCGGTCCCGCCCCTCCCGCGCTCCGCCCTCCCATTGGCTGGCTCGGACGCGCCAACTCCCCCGCAGTGACCAATCAGCGCTCGCGCGACCGCTCCCGCCCCTCGGGAGGGCGAAGGGGGCGTGGTCAGGGCGAGGCGGGGGGCGTGGCCAAGCGGCTCGTGCGCTCCTCTTAACGCCCCGCGCATCCTGCTCATCCTCACCCTCCTCATCCTCATCCTGGTTATCCTCCTCCTCCTCCTCCTCATCATCATCATCTCCATCCCCATCGCCGCCGCGGCGGTGTCCCGGATCGCGCGGGTGAGGTGGCGGCCGCAACGCGGGCGGGGGGGAGGGAGCTGCCCCATCCCCGTGGCCGCACGTTGCATCATCCGCGGGAATGGGATGGGGTGGGGAGAGCTGGGGGGGCGGGCGTGCCCCCCATCCTGGGGTGGGATGAGGGTTTGAGGGGGGGCCGCGGGATGGAACGGGTTGCCCCGAGAGGGTGTGGAGTCTCCCTGGCTGGAGATGTTCCAGAGAACCGTATGGATGCGATCCTGTGCCACGTGCTCTGGGGTGGCCCCGCTCGAGCGGGGAGGCTGGCACAGATGTGGTCCCTTCCAACCTGACCCGCTCTGTGGTTCTGCGGGTGCGGTGCTGCCGCTCAGCTGGACTTCTGTGCTGTGTTTGTGCCGAAGGGAAGGGGTGGGAAGGGGCAGCTGCGGGCGGGGGGAGCCCCGGAGCCACCCCCGGGAGCAGCGGGGGATGCCCCGGGCAGGCCGGGAGCGCCTCCCCCGAGCAAGGAGGAGCAGAGGTGGGCTCTCGGCATCTCACGCCGGCTCACAAGATGACTTTGTGACTTCTGCCTTTCTCTCTGGGTTTGGCACCAGCTCTCCGGCCAGGCTTGTCCGTTGTTCTCGTGGGCACCATGAGCGTCTCTTGCAATGTTTTTTGGCAAGTCTGGCTAATGCAGTGGACCATGAAGCTTTTTTTTTTTTTTTTTTTTTTTTTTTTTTTTTTCTTTTACATTTTATCATTTTATTTCATATATTGCCTTTCCCCAATCGGGAGGGGTCTGAACTTCATAGGACCTGAGAGAGCTGCTCAATATCAGCGTTAATAATGCTGCTGGCACATGGAACCGGCCACTACTTGAAAGACAAGTGATTCTTCTCCTTCCTATTCCTGTTTGAGTACCTAGTCTGCTGTGTGTCTCTCTGATCCTAAAGCCTTTGACCATGGAGTGCTGGGCCCTGTTCCAGCGTGGTTGCTCACACTGTTTACCCTTTCAGCGACTCTGTTTGCTGATTTGTGGCGTGAGAGCTCCGTGTTCTGCGAAGCTTGTGCTGCGGAAGGGTGGAAAAAAACAGAGTGTGGAGAGAGCCGAAACGTGGGGATCTCGTGCCAGAGAGGAGAGGTGTTCCCTGGGAAACTGAGAGCTGCTCAGAGCCTGGTGTTGCTCAGCAGGGGAACGTCTGCGCTGAGATCACCGCTGATGAAGTGCAGTTTAGGTGCTGGAGTAGGTTTGGCATTGGGGTGTTTGCCGCCCTTTTTCATACTGGTTGGTGGCTGTTGTTGTCCTCCCGTGACCTCTGCCGTGTGGGTCACCCAGCCTGCTCTCCTGCAGCCAGAGTGTGCCTCTAAGGATGGTGGTTGGTATCCAGAGGCAGGAGAGATCCGTGTCCCGGGCTCTGCAGGCCCTGGGACATCTCTGACCTGGCACTGGCAGCCTGCCAAGGCGGTGGGATGGGCTGGCAGGTGCCTGCAGCCTGTATGTGACCTGGGAAAGCTGCCCGTGAGCACCGGGGCCGGGCACAGGGCAGCGCCCTGCCCGTGGCTGCACCGGGGGTGCCTTGCTGGGAGCTCCGCGGGTGTGGCCGGAGTGGTGGTGGCACTTGTGGCCTTTCCCACAGGACATGCCCAGGCAGTGGCGACCAGCAGCTCTCTGCCAGCCTTTATCAGAGGTCCCTGGGCTAACAAAAGCCGTGTCGCCTTGCAGGGAGGCACCGTAATACCGGGGAGGGGGGGCTGTGCTCCTGCCCGTGTCACAGACCTCCCAGAAACCCAGAGCAGAGCTCCAGCTCCCTCTGTTTGCCACGTTGGGCTGCTTGCTTGATCCCTGAGCCTCTTACCTGTAATGCTTCTCTCGCTGCACTTGGTGAGCTCGGCAGATCAAAAGCACTGGTCAGGCTGCCCGTGTTGGTCCATCTGTGTGCGCTAAAGCAGAAAGCAGGGAAAGAAATAATGAAAGCTTCAGACTGCAAGAGGTAAAAATGCAGATAAAGCGTTCTCCAGGCTTTTCTCTCACGCTGTTGAGCTCCTGAAGACTTCAGTCTTCACTCAGAAGGCTTATCAGGTGAGTTCAGGCAGGGTTGGAGTGAAGGCAGGAAATGGAGGTGCCAGAGGACACCTGGGTTAGGGCTGCAGGCACAGCTTCCCTTCTGTGGGGGGAAGCAAACCGAACATTTTCATGTTTTCCCTGGCTGACTTCTGGTGTAACGATTGGCACAGTAGTGGAAGTCGCTTTGCTGTTGAAGTTGAGTCTTTGCAGTATTACAGAGATGGGGGCATTAAAGAATTACCCATTTCCTATCAGGAATATTACAAGTACGTCATTCTGGCCTTGAAAAAGGTGATCACTGAGAGGACATGCATGTGCCCATCTGCTCTGTAGGAGGAAATGGAAATAAGACTTGGGATTCTTGAAGGATCTCTGCCTAGAACCTCTGTGCTGTTAATTCATTTTCCAGTTATTTCAGGTCACTTGTTATCTCCTGAGTGAGGAGAGTGGTTATCTCTGAGTGAGGGCTGCCTGCTCCTGAGGGAGGAGCAAGGACACACACACACATGCTTACAGGAAAACCACAACAGCAAAACAACCCAAATGTCTGACTGTCTCCTGAATCATTTGTAGCTGTGGTGTACCCATCCAGCCTTTGGGTACTGCTGCATCTGCTTATCTATGAAGATCCTAAAGCCCCCTAAGACCCTGTGACACTCAGAGGGAGCAGAACAACTGTTTTGTGATGGTTTACTTGTGCCTGCTTAACCTCATAAAGTTTCCCGTTCTCAGCATAATGGAATTCTGTATCTCATCTCTTGCTGAGCAGTCAGCCCTGGGGGCATCTCTCTCTGATTCACCTCTTACACCTGACTTTTAGACAGCTTTGTTCGTGCTTCAGACAAGACTCCAGTTAATTGGGTTCTTGCTCACATGATACTTAAGTGGTACAGTACATTAGTGCTGATACCATACACTGTAAACAGCTGTAGAAATTGTAGCTCCTGACTTATCTGTGGAGTGGGTTCAGCTCAGGCTGTTTGGGCATTAATTTCACTCGCTGGCTTTCAGCCCTTTTCTGTAGGAGTTGAGAAATACTTTAGGTCTTGGGCTCCCTGTGGAGATGGATCCAGAGATGTGAGCCTTGCCCATGACACTTTCTGCATCTCACACCTCTGTGTCCCCCTGCCCTTCGTGACTTAGGTTTAAATGGCTTTGTAAATTGTCTTTCTGATTTTTTTTTTTTTGCCTCGTGTGCTCTGCAGATATAATGGCAGAAGTTAGTCAGGCTTTTCTAGTTAGACTCTACCCACACCCCCAACTAGTTATGGGAGTGTTCCCCTTTATAGCAAAATTAAATTCAGGCTGATAGAATTTCTTTCCAGAGGATGGGCAGCTCTTCCTGCAGTTTGTCTCCCTTGGACTCTCCTGAGCAGTGTCCAGTACAGGAGCAGAGTTGGCATTTTCCTGCACTGTCTCCCCAGTCCTCATTCCCAGAAAAAAAGACTGAGAAGAGGGTCAGGGTAGCAAAGGTGTTGCTGTCATCTTCTGTTTTAGGGGTTTCTTCTCACCCCCTTTATTTTGTTCCCCAGAGGTCTCCCCAGTAGAAAGATGCAGCAGGTTCCTATGGCCCGTTTTGGGTCTGTAGGCAGGATCATGGGGGACTATTTGGATGTCCCAGACCACCTCTCCCCTCTGTTTTGCTGAAGTTGCATCATCAAGGGCTGTAAGCAATGATTTATGTTGCTTAAGGTTAGTATTTGGTTAGGATTTTTGCTGGCAGTGCTTGACAGTGGCTTTTTGTCCCTTTTCTCGTTATCTGTTCAGAATTGAAGCCCCATTGTTGAAGCTTTGATCAAATACCAAGCACTGCCATTCTGAAAGTACAAGAGAGTCTCACAGCTCAGCTGAAGGCAATAAATGTAGCTTGTTCTTAGCTTCTGCTTAGTTTCTAGTTCAAGAAGTGATGGGAGTTGCAGTTAGTGAATTATGGGGTTTTTTTGCTTTACAATAGAGGAAATGAGATGGCATTGTCCTTCAAAATGCAGCTTTTTGAACGCCACAATAATTCCTTTCCTGCTGTCAGTACAAAGAACAAATACTTGAAACCTCTTACATTTTTTTCTGCAAGAAATTTCTCCCCCATTCTCCTCGTTTTTCGGACCCTTTTGAAGGACACCGAGAATTGGTGATTTTTAAAGCTTTTAAAGGTTTTGTGCTCCTATTTTATGAGAACCTGGAAGATGAACACAATGGGCTGTTTCCTGTCTCTAAGCCCCTGCTGCTTTCCTCCTGCATGTTGAAATGGTTTGATCCTTTGGCACCAAGACCCTTTATTAGCTGGACTTTGTCAGTGTTGTCAGTGTTACCTGTGAGCAGAGGCAGTCGGTGTCTGTGTCCAGGGTTTGGTGCCAGCTGGGTGAGGGAACATATGGATGTGGCTCAAAGGAAGCCTTGAAACTTCTCCAGTGTTTTGTTTTTTTTTTTTTTTTCTTTACTAAAAACAAAGCCACTGATATTCTGAATTGCGAACCAGGGACCTCCTAGAAAGAGAAATGAAAGTAGGTTTCACTCTGGAACTGGAAATGAGCTGCTTTCTGGTAATAGAGACTATTTATTGATTGTTTATCTTAGCTTTCCTGGGCTGGTGTCTCTTAGTTTAGTCTTGGTCAGTAGTCTAGGACAGGATCTAGTTCATCTTGGCTCTCGGGCATGTGTTAACCTAAATAAAGTAAAATCATACAATTCTGGTGGCATGGAAACCTTGATAATCCCAAAGCAGAATTATTTCAAGTCTTAAGCTGGAAAGTGGACTCTTTCAGAGGTTTTTTTTTTTTCCCCTAAAGGAGGGCTGTTTAAGTGCTTTGGGAGTTTTCTTCAAGTCAGCATGCAAGAAAGGAGTTGGTGTGCACAAGGCAGTGGTGGTTAGTGGTCCATATTAACTTACAGGATCAAATACTAAAGTTCACTGAGCCTGTGATTCAGTTGTGTTTTTTTCCCAGTGTGTCACCAGACCATCAACTCTGTGTCTGTTTTGGGTGCATCTGTCAGAAGAAGGAGGATGAGGCCAGGGGACCCTTTCCAGCACAATTCAGTAATGGAAAGAGCTGAATTTTGCTGCAAAATGGTGATGAAAAAAACAAATACCAGGGGAAAAAAACCAACCATCATGCTTTCCAAGACTTCAGCCACATTATTGCCTTTAGTGGGAAGGAAGCAGGCAGGCTCTGTGAACAACTGGCCATTGCAGGAAAAATGAACTTACTGTTTACATTTCGTATTCGCTGATTTTTGAAACAAAAAGCCTCCTAGAAGGCTGAAGTGTTTGCCATGTCTGTGTTATATCCAGCATCACTACAGCTGTGCATGTAACACTGATTCATTTTGGGTAAAAACTGGGTGAGATTTTGGTCTCCTCAAGGGTTCAGAGGCCTTTGCTGGTGTTTCTGGATAAAGCTGTTTCCTAAGTCCTGTACAGGGTCTTTTGGGGATGGCACTGCGAAGCCCTTTCCCCCTGTTGTCCCTAGAAGTCTGGATCCTGTGAACTGAAGTGTTTCCTGTTACTTTGTGTGGCTTTCAAGCTTAAGGAATTGCAGACAGTCGGATAAAAGGTGTTTTCTGCTTTCTCCCCTTTCAGAGCCAGGGAAGTTTATGTAGTGCAGGAAGGGCAGGATCAAGGGACCCTCCATCATATTGTGCAATACCTCTGCTGAATGATTTTTTTTTTTTTTTAAATCCTTTACACAAATCATCTTCACTTTGTTTCGCACCTTCTTTTTCTCTCCATGAAAAAGCTGTCTGTGTTTTGCCCCCGTGAGAGACTCTTTCATGATAGTTTTTTTTTCCCCTAACTTGCATGTTCTGCAGTGTTGAAGAGGATTCCAGTCTGGTGACTCTTTCCTGAAGGAATTCCAGTCTCCTGGGCCATCACCTTCACCAAAAACCATGGAGAAGTTCGTATCAGACAAGCCTGTTCCTGTGTCAAAGGTAACCGCTGGCCTTTGGGGAGTACTGTTATCCCACCTTTCTGTCACCAGAATTTGGGAGAGCCCCACCTGTTTCCAGAGGGATTTCTAGGTTGTTTTGCTGAAATGCTGTGGTGGGAGGTGCTGTTGAAACCAGTGGTCTTTCTGGAAGAGTTCTCCATGACCATAAGTAGGAATGCAGAGTATTTTGGCACAGCTTTCTAATGAGCCACCAGTCAGTCTTACTGAATTCCACTCCTCTTGGAATGGGGTATCCCTCATGAGACCAGTCCTGTTTCCTTGATATTTATGGAGGCTTGTTACAGTAAGCACATGCCTCAGTGTATTTAAATTATTCTTGTGCTGCTGATAAGGATTTGGGAAATCAAAATGATGCTGAAACACCTTCCTGTCCTCACAGTACTATGGAAACATCAGCTGGCCATCAAAATACCTGTTTGTTGTGACCTTTTTCCCCATAAGGGGAGAACAAGACTGAGACACTGGAGGATGGGATTAATCTGAGACATGCTGTGCTTTCCTCCCCAACACCTGGGTCTCAGGTGCAGTCCCAGAATCTCCTGTAGTCAGTGGCAGAACCTGTTCTTGGGTGTTAAAACTGCTTTTTGCCCTTGCCCTTTTTAGAGACTTGTCTCCTGAACACTGTCACCAGGGTAGCTGCTGCTCAGGCTTCCCTCAGGAAAACTGTGTGCTGGAACACCAGACTGGGATGGCAAAGTTGGTGGGACAAGAGAGACAAGAATAAGGGCTCCTTATTAGCAACGTGACTTTTAGCTCTTTTAGCAGGGGGCAGTGATGTGGATGGGGGATTTCCCATGGTGTGGAACTTAAGTGGCTTTGATAATCTCAAAGGTGCTCTGACCCTGTTACAGCAGGGCAGACAGATCACTCACTCTCCTTAACCCTTCTTCTTTTTTTTTTTCTTTTTTCTCCTTTTGTTTTCCTTCTCCCTCCCCCCAGAATGGAATCCCTACTCTTCCTCCCCAGAAGAAGCCAGAGACAAACTCGTGCCCTCATGCAGCTGGCAAGTATTGTCTCCCTGGTGGGGTGGAGAATGAGAACTGCAAGAATAATGAGAAGGAAAGGCAGTGGATCCGCCCTGATACACCCAGCAAATGCACGTGGAAGCTCGGGAAACCCCTCTCTGCCTCCCCACATCATCATACCTCTCTGTGAGCATTTCATTTGCTGCTTTTCAGCACTAATCCAGGCTCCCTCAGAGCCATGGGGATTTAACAGCAGATGACTGATTTAAAATGAGTCTTACTTAGACTGTAGATGTGCTGGTGCTTTTTAATTTCCATGTCTAAGCAAAGCTAAGAACCCAGACTGAGCATACAGGGGGCCTTGCACCACAGATGTGAAAGCACACGGACTGGAATGAATTTAAGTGACCTGGCAAACAGATCCCTGACTAGATGAAAGTTTGCACTATTAGTGCCTTTTGGTTATAAAATAGCTGACTCTGAGGAGTGCTGAGCTACTCCATGCCAGGAGAAAGTGCAGAGGTCTTCATTCTTGCCTCAGTGCTTGGCTTAATGTCTGATTAATCCTTGTTTTGGATCAAGGACTTGATGTCTGTGAGTTTGTATCCCATGGTTGTTCTTTTAAAGTAAAATACCTAAAGTAACTACCCTGATAAAGGGGAGGGAGAAAGGTGGTTGAAATAAAAAGCACCACAAGTGCTGTGTGGTTGTTGTGTGACCTGTCTGTGGCCCTTTCTGGGAATACACTGACTTTGTTTATATTTGTACCAGGCCAGAGCCTCCAAAGATCCTGCCAAACATCCTGACTAAAGTTGGCAATACACCTTTGGTGAGAATCAACAAGATTGGGAAGCACTTTGGACTCAAGTGTGAGCTCTGTGAGTACTGCTGCACACAGAAAATCAAACTAACAAACACCTTTTCAGAAACTTGGGGTAGTTCTGGTTAATAGTGTCATGTAACCCTGGGGACAGGAGTGCAGGCACCTGGCAGGAAATGGTGAGGAAAAATTCCTCTTTTTTTTTTGGCAGATGGTCAGTTTTTTGGAATTGGTCATTTAAAACATCTTTCAGTTTGTGCTTCATGAGAACATTTCCTCCAGCTTTTCCATTTTTGTAGAAAAAGTAAAATGTTTCTTATAGAACATTTAAATGTAAAAAAGTTGTGTGAAGTTTGTGACTGCTTCTCATATTCAGGGTATTCATCAGTGTGTGTAAAATGCACATCAGCAGTTAGCACCAAATATCAATGAAAATATTTGAAGAGATGAAACTGTCAGTGAAAGTTTTTTATTTGTTTGATTGGGGTTTTAAACCCAACCGTACTGGAGATACCTGGAGGTTCTGATCAGAGAAAGGTGATGTTCAACACCACTGAAGGGACTATTGCTGGGGGAGACTGGAGTGAAAGTGTAGGCTGAACAAGGGGAGAAACTTCCAGTTTGATCAGAAGCTCTTTGGCTTGGGGACTTCTCGGGGAAGAGGCAAGACCAGGTTTCAAGGCCAGGTCGGATGGGGCTCTGAGCAACCTGGTCCAGTGGAAGGTGTCCCTACCCATGGCAAGGGGTTGGAATGAGGTGATCTTCAGGCTCCCTTGCAACCCAAACCATTCTGTGATTCCAGTGACAACTTGCTTGTTGTTGTGACCTGTAACAGAGGAGACGCCGTGAGCTGAATCCCCGTCTCTGGTGTTGGGAAGCAGGGAGGGAAGAATTGGGCAGACACGTTAACAGAGCTGCTCTTGCAGAGGTGTTAGGAATCAGCAGCCTGCTGCCAAGTCCCTGTGTTCAAGAGCTGTGCTTGGTTTCTGTGATTCCAGTGGTCAAGTGCGAGTACTTCAATGCCGGGGGCAGCGTCAAGGACCGCATCAGCATCAGGATGGTGGAGGATGCTGAGAAGGCTGGGATCCTGAAGCCTGGGGACACAATCATAGAGCCAACCTCTGGAAACACAGGTGGGGCTCGGAGAGACCTTAGCAAAGTGTGTGTGGGGGGAAATGCTGAGGTGCTTTTCCTGGGAGAGGCAGGTTTGAGATTGGAGCGTGGAGGCTGCCTGTGCAAGGAAGAAGGGATCTCTTCCTGCCTGCAGTGCCTCCTCCATCATGCACAGGGAACATTTCTACAGTGCCCTGTGCTGACCAGAAGAGCTGGGAAGGAGTTCTGCTAAATTTGCAGAGCCTCTTTGCTTTCAGAGAAAAGAAGTGTTAAGCTGGATTCACTAGAATCTTTAGGTCCTATTCAGGAATTCAAGTCTGATTGAAATTTAAGGGGGGAAAAGCACCCAGAAGACTGGTAAGAATATAGATCTTCCCATTCTTTCTGTTTGGGAAGTCCTGTGGTCCCTCTGTCAGGTGAGATGGGCCTGGTTTGAGAAATAGCCCTTCCCATGCTGGTGCAGTTGATGTGGGGGATGAGCTGCACCCCCACAGCACTGCCTGCTGACAAAGCCCTCGCACACCTGGATTTTCAACAAGTTCCACTGTTGAAAATCACAGGAGATCCACAGCATCTCCTCCTTGGGGGGCTGGAGGAAGGAACAATCCCATAGGCAGGGCCCAGGGCAAGGCGCTGGAGTTACCTCGGCTCCTGTGTCAAAGCTGTTGTAGTTCTCTCAAGCTGCTCTGCTCCTGGGGAGAAAACATACCTGGAGTGTTCCCCCCCAAAATATAAAATATAAATAGTTAAATATATAAATATAAATTTATAATATGTAAATATTATAAAATATAAATATATAAATGTATACTGCCTCCTCTGAGCAGGTTCCTGAGCTGAGCTGCAAGCTACTCTCCTGCCTGATGTGCTCTGGAGTGGTGTTTTGTCCTGTTCTTAAACTCCTTCCTGGGCTTCCATCCACTGTTGCATGATATTAGACACAGGCCAAGCAGATCTTTCTCTTGTTCTTTTGGTCCAGTTCAAGCCTTTGTTACTGGAGGGACTGGGGTGATGAGCTGATCTGCCTTCCACAAAAAACTGGGAGGTCACATCAGTTGCTGTCACCTCAGCAGCCGTTCTTTGGGGGGTGCAGTGCAACTGAAGCCTTTGTGAATGTGGCTCTACCCCTTGCCTGAACAACGACACACGAAAATATCCATATATATTGCGTTCCTCCAGTATCTAAGGTCACACTGTGACATCCTGCTTTCTGGGTCAGTACCTGATAAATGATTCTCCTTGCCATGGAATCCGAAAAGGCAGAACTGAAAGAGATACAGGACAATTGCTGCAGAATGCTGCCTCCCTTTTTCATATAAAAGCAAAGACCAGGGCAGGCAGTAACCTGAGGCAATTATAATTTGCTCTAGGCTACTGCTCAGGGCTACTATGTTGAAAGTAAGAGATAATGTGTTATATTTTTGTCCTCTCTGCATCCCACTTCTCCCTCAGCCAGAGTCCTGTTTTGATGTTTGCTGCATTTCCAGTTCAGTAGCAGAAAGTACAAAGTATTAGAGTTCAGGTCTCAAAATTCTTTCTTCATCACAGACTGTAAGGAAGAATGCTGGATGGCTTCTCTTCAGTCTCTGGCCTTAGGGAGGCCTTTGCTGTCTTATTTTTGCATTTGGGCATCCATATTTATCTATAATACACTGAGAAAAGTTGCTTTCTCCCCCACAAATATATTAAACACTGCTTGAATTACTTGAGGTGTGAGCTAAGCTTCTCTTACAGTAACAGTTTTATTATTTGGGTTTATTATTTTTTTTACCTCTCTGTGATCCAGCAGCATGAAGAAACAGAGCCAGCTTTGAACAAGCAAGTCTCTGCGTAGGGTAAATTGCATGTGTTGGTCCTGCACCCAACACAGCGGGGGAGCTGCCTTGCAGTCTGACCTCAGACAATGATCAGCCAACTTGATCTGTTTAGCTTATCCCGCAGAGAGGTGATCTAATAACAGGTGTGAGCTTCTCTTCTCTGAGGTACAGCAAATGACCAGCTGGAAGGCAGAAATCAGGCTGGAGGTACAGATTTTGGAAGCAAGAATGAGGTGTCTGTCTCTTAACAGTCAAGGTACTTCACTGTGGTAGCAAGTTTACCCAGTGCATTAGAACCTCAATCACAAACAGCATCTAAATGATTTCTTTCCAGAAAGGACTTAGTTTCAGTGCATTGCAAACTAGGGGTTTAATGCAAAAGTGAGTCAGTAAAGGCTCTGATGATCTTCTGGAAGCATCGAAGGGATCGTTCTGATCTTCTCTAGCTTCCAGCACATTCCTTTCCCAAATTCCTTCTGTAGAAATGGAGTGGGTGAGACAGGAGGAAGGTGATGTGCATGTGGTAAAGCCAGCAGTTTGCACATGCCAAGCTTCCCCACCCTTGGCTAAGCTTTCTCTTGGCTCTGAACCTCAAACAACAGAGCAGCATCTGTAAATCCAGTTCTGCCCAACAGACTGAAACATTCCGTTTGCCACCCCTCTAGAGGCACTGTATTCGAGCCTCTGGTGAAAATCTGATTAAATCCAGGGGCGTGCCAAAGCTGGCACTGTGGCTTTTGTTCTCTGCTGCTCCTCACTGTGTGCTCTGCGTGTCTTTGCTTGCTTCCAGGAATTGGGCTGGCCTTGGCTGCGGCAGTGAAGGGTTACCGCTGTATCATCGTGATGCCAGAGAAAATGAGCATGGAGAAGGTCAGACCTGCTTGTCTTTTCAAGAATTAAAAAAAAACAAACGTGTTTGCACTCGCAGAATTCCTGGTGCAAGATGTGTGCTGTGGCTTTAACAGCAAAGATGTGGGCTCTTGGTCTCCAGGTTGTTGGCCGGCCAGAACTCTGCTGAGGGGCTTGTTGTTCATCCACAGAAATCCAGGCTGGCTAGCCATGGATAGAAAATGTCTTTTAAGACCCATCCCCACAGCGCTGTCACTTTGAAAGCTGTCATAGCAGTTTTAAATACAAATGTCAGGGGAACTTGGGATTTGCCACGCACATTGAAGTGACTGCCTGTCCATGGGTGAGCTGTCCCACGCTGAGCAGAGGATGAAGGGAGGCAGTGCTGAAGCTTGGAGTATTCCTCAAATATTCAGGGCCCAGGGCTGAGTGTGAGGGAGCCCGTTGAGCTCCTCACTGGGTGGTACTGGCGAGCACCTGAGTTGTCACCACAACAGCAAAGGGGAAGGAAAAGCTGCCTTAGCTTCCACTTACCTCCACTTACCTGTAACCATGGCTTGCTCTTACCTGCTTTGGAGGGAGAGGTACCACATGGCCATTGCCACGTGCCACATGGCACCAGAGGTCTCCCTCCCCTCTGAAGACAGGCTTTGCCTTAGCTCAGTGTCATAATCTTTTCTTGCCCTTGTAGCAGTGGAAAGGTGCACAGGGCCCTGGAGGATCTCCATTGCTGCCTGTGTCCAGAGGAGGGGATAAATATACATAATTTACACTAAAACACAAAATACTGGGCTACAGCACTGCTGGAGTGCAGAATTTGTGAGTGGTGTGAGAGAAGAGGGTGTTTTGGCTGAATGAGGCTTCTCAGTGTGGTAGTCATAGCTCCTACAGGCGTGAAGGCCTGGCCTAGAAACAGGAATTTGACACCTGGCTCCCCGGTAAACCTTAGTTCAAACCCTTAATGTCATTTGGTTTTGATCCATGGCTCAGTGGCTCAGGCTATAGGAGAACCACTGAGGAGGCTATTGCTGACCAGGGGAAAGGGAAGATGTTTTCTTTCCCCTTTCATCCAGTGAAGCCTCTGGACTCCGGGATAGTGTTCTGGGGCTTTGTGACCGCCTTTCTTTGCTACAGGTGGATGTCCTGAGAGCTCTGGGCGCTGAGATTGTGAGGACCCCAACTACTGCCAGATTTGATTCTCCTGAGTCTCACGTGGGAGTGGCGTGGAGGCTGAAGAACGAGATCCCCAACGCACACATCCTAGACCAGGTGAGAGCCAGGGTGCAGGAGGGGCAGGGCAGCGTGGAGCAGGAGTGGCAGCTTTGTTCCTTAGTGTGCTTGGTTGACTGTTCAACACCCTACGTGTGTCTCTGGAGGAGAAGATGCCCCAGATCTGGAGCTGTAGCTGAGCTGTGCTCCAGGCCAGCCAGTTTTTGTGGTCACTAGAGAGCAGCAATGAGCCAGTGCTTGCCAAAACTGCAACGCTCGAGGATGTCTTTCTCCACTGAGTTGGCAGGCCTGTGTGGAAGAATGGACACAGGAGTCACGTTGCTCAGAGTAGCTGTCCCACAAACAAGACTGATCTTGGCACTGGAGGGTGCTGGCACCCTAGAACTACTCTTAAATTAGGTCACTTGGGAAGGTTGTATCTCCCCTCGGGCCTAGGTCCAGGAAACAGATAAGGAAACAGTCTGCAGAGAGTGTGTGTAGCCGCTGTGGGGCTTGGAGATTGTTTGATGTGTTCTTGAAATGCCTCACAATGTGCATTTTTTGTCTTCATGTCTGTTCTGTCTTCCCACATAGTACCGGAACCCCAGCAATCCCCTGACACACTACGACACCACAGCTGAGGAGATCCTGCAGCAGTGTGATGGTATGTCTGCTCCACTGCTAATCCCCTCCCCAGCCAGTCCCTGCTAGCTTTATTGTTATTTTCTTGGAGAGTGAGACCTGAGCTGGATGAGAAGTGCATGGATTTTGACGGAGCAAATCCCATACACATGCTGTGTGTCATTGGAGAATTACCTTATTTCAGTAGTCACAGTAATTGTTTTTTTTTTCTATTAAAGAAGAATTCTTTAAGTTTTATACTCCTCTGCTAGTGGTCAAGTGGAGGAAGCAGTGATGCTTAACATACCGTATAAAAAATAAAGGCATAGGTAGACTACTATGAAATAGGGTCATTTTTCTCTGATCACAAGTACAGAAATAGGTATTTTAACATTCCCAGACCAAATACTCCAATGCATTGGAAGATTCTTCACTTCAGAGTTCTCAAGAGCACAAACTGCCCTGTGTAGCAGTTGTCACCAGTAGGACCCTCTCACTCTGTAGGGATCTCTTCCACATTAGTGCTGGGCAGCTGAGCTGGAGAACCAGCAGGGACTGAGCTGTGGCAGCACAGAGCTTCAGCTGGGCTCACTCACCCAGCTGAGGAGCTGGTTTGAGAGCTGTGGGAGACATTCCATGGGATGCTGCAATCTACCCCGTGGGCATTTCCATGGGTGGTAGAATTAAGTCATGTAGGAGGCTACTGACCTGCCCTATAAGAATGTTATACAGCACAGTTTCTGATGGGACCCTCTGATAAGAAAATCAGCTATTAAATTCCTTCTCATTAAGGTGAGGACCATGTGAAGGGTTCTCCTCCCTCCTAAAACTCTGACTGTTCAGAGGATTTGGCTTGTCTTTCCTGTGACAAACTTTGACTTAAAGTGAGTCCACTTTAACAAGCTGCCATCCCACAAATTGGGAGTCCAGATGAGTTCCAGCTTTAGACTACTTGTTTGTATTTACTTTCCCTCACAGGCCAGGCACTGTTCAGTTGCCCCTGCTTGGTGGGGTGTTATTCTCTTGGCTGGTAAGCGCTTGTTTTTGTGTGTGACTTGGTGACCTTTTAAAAATTTGATTTTATTTTTTAATTAACAAAGCTATCATGTGGATGCACCAGGGAAACTGTAGGTGGTGACAGAGGGATAAAATATATCCACATTCACTCTGAGTGCTAAGTGACCAAACAATCTTTTTCACTGGAAAATGGGAGAGTAGTTGTGTTATAAGTTCTCTCTGTGGATGCCTAACCCATGCTCTTGGCACTCATTCAGCTAATTAACTAATATAATGGGCTGCTTGGTTTAAGTTAGAGAATGAATTATCTGTATCAGCAAATACAGTAACAGGAAAACTGCAGCTGTCAGCTTCATGGGCCACCTCCAGCTGTGTCCAAAGTGCCACAAGTTGGTGCCTTGCCAGGCCTCTGGATGGACATTTCAAAACCCTTGTTGGAGTAAATGAGGACTGAGCAATGTGGGCTCAGGACAGGTCTCATAACAGCTTTTGGGAAGCAAAGGGCCTTATCTTGCCCTTTTCAGCCACTTGCTGTGTTTTTATTGAAAAAATTCCATACTTAGGTGTAAGTGGGGTTTTAGTCCATCGTTCTGTTGGAGGTTTCACAACTGCCTTCTGTCCCTCACCCTCAAACAGGAAAGGTAGACATGCTGGTGGCTACGGCTGGCACAGGAGGGACTATCACTGGCGTCTCCAGAAAGCTAAAGGAGAAGTGTCCAGGCTGCAAAGTAAGTGACAAACCTAATGCATTTCTGTCCAGTGGGGCTGACCTCACACTGCTCCACTTGGCACATCACCTCCTCTGGCGTGACACTCTGCAGCCTCGTGTTTCCTCTCTGACTGTGTCATCACTAACTTTTTTGGAGCTACTGAGGTTTTCTCTGGTGTAACTGTCTCTGCACAGAGATCCTCACTTGGTATCCCGCTTCCATCATCAACATTTTCCTACATCGTAGGCAGGGAGTGGTAAAGAAGATAAAACTGATGTGCTTAGACTTGGCCCAAGATGTCTTGGCTGTAATGAGGCCTGACCAGTGAATGAGGACAGTCTTGCCTTGGGGAAACCCTGTCTTCTGTTTAAAACAAGCAAACCCCTACATAGAACAAGTGGTGCCCCTCAGTGTCCGCACATCCTGAAGAGTTGGGATGTGTTGCCTGAAGCAGCAAAGCATTTTGCTCTCAGGGGAAGTGAATCTTGCCTGAAAAATGAGTAGGAGACCATTTGTTGCTGTTGGCTTGGCTGAGTGTGACACCAGCAGCTGCAACAAGGCTGGTGCTCACACGTGCTGTGTCCTCAAAAGCAATGAGTCACAGTGGCCTGAGTGGAAACTGCTTCTCCAGATCATAGGTGTGGATCCTGAGGGCTCCATCCTCGCTGCACCAGAATCACTGAACAAGACTGACAAGACAACGTATGAAGTGGAGGGAATCGGATATGATTTTGTCCCCACGGTGTTGGATAGATCTGTAAGTCGTGCTGCTTGGTTCTACTGCCCTTTGCCCTCTGGTGGGGTGCAGGAGTGAGGTGAAAGGCAGAGGGAAGAACTTTGGGGAAGTATTCCTTTGAGCTGAAATGGGAGGATGAGGAGACAGAACTATTCCTGTTCTTTCCATCAGCAGTCCTCAGATTGTTTGTTGTACAGTGCCAGGTCAAAAGGCTGTGAGTAGATAATGTTTTCCTAGAACAAATTTATTTTTGCATTTAAAAAAAAACCAAACAAAACATACTACAAAACACACACAATAAAAACAACAACAAACACAAAACCACCAACTAACCAATAAGATAAAAAAGTCTCCAGTAAAGCATCCCAACCCCTCCTGGACAAAGACAGCATCCTGAGCAGAGCCTGTGTCCCTGGGAAGCCCTCCAGGAGGGGCAGAAACTGATGCTCTCCGTGGCTGACTCACAGCAGCCTGTTCCCACAGTGAGGTTCCAATAAGGAGCCTGCTGTACTGGTGTGATCATCTTACCTTGGCAAAAAAAACCAAACCAAAAACACTTGGTATTTGGAGGATGGAAACCCAGGCACATGGCTCGGTAGGGCAGCTGTTACCTCAAAGAGCATGGGTTTGAATTCACACTGGTTGTGTAGTTCCCCTGTCCCTCCCCACTTAAATAGCCCTCTCTTTCTGTCTTCCTGCCCCTTCCCAGGCAGTGGACCAGTGGTACAAGAGCAATGATGAGGAGTCCTTTGCTTTGGCTCGCATGCTGATCCGAGAGGAGGGGCTGCTGTGCGGTAAGAGCAGATGTGGATCCTTTGGGTTTCTCTGTGGGAGGCTGAAGCCTTGTGCAGATCAGAGAGACCTCCTTCCACCTCAGAACTTGCCTTCCTCACTCTGGGCTCCTCTCACTCTCTCTCCTTCTCCCTTTTGGTCATTCTCATTTCACTCGTGGCGTGACAGTTCTGCCTCTGCTCTGTGTTCTGGCAGGTGGCAGCTCAGGCAGCGCCATGTCTGTGGCTGTGAAGGCAGCCAAGGAGCTGAAGGAGGGCCAGCGCTGTGTTGTCATCTTACCTGACTCTATCAGAAACTACATGTAAGAGCCTGCTGGTTTTCTGCCTGGGAAAGGGGTGAGGCAGTCCCTCAGACCTCCTTACAGCAGTGGCAATTTGAATACCTGTGTCACATATCACCCAGGAATGTGTTTGGGGCACAAGTTCCAGGGTATCTAAAAAGGGCCTGACATGGAGTAGACGTTTTCCCTTTGAAAGCTGAGCTCTCATTTCAGTAGGTAGTCATCACTGGTTAGCATCTTTCACAGCAAAGGGCTTGGTTTCACTGTGTTATTTATGGGGGACCTCTGGTATTATCCCATCCCTGTGCCCACAGCAGAGCCCAGCGCTCCTGCAGCAGCAGCAGCCACTGTCAGGGTGAGTTTGCAGGTGGAAGTGTGAGGGTTCTGAGCTGTGCTGAGAAGTTTTTCTCCTACTGCATTGAAGCATATCCCAAACCATGGTATCTTTAGCTGTGTTTCCTGACTTTTGTTGCATCCAACTCAATACTGGAAACTAGAAACATCTAGAAGCTGCAGACAGACCTTGCCTGGCACATCTCCATTCCAGGCCGTGTCTCTGTTGTATTGAAAGGGACTGATGTAGTTGGAACTTTGTTTCCTGTGGGATTCCTTTTTCTTCCTATGAATATTTTCCTCCATGTCCCTGGCTGGTAAGCTTGGATAGCAAATGGTGGTCTGTTTTCAATTACCCTTTGGTTGTGAGTGGTAGTGAGCTGTAAACAGTTGCCTGTGTTTGCTGTCAGATGTTCAACCTGCTAATGAGCTTTTCACTTCCTAATGATTTTCCAGGTCCAAGTTTTTGAGTGACAAATGGATGATTCAGAAAGGGTTCATGAAAGAAGAGGACCTTGGCAACAAACCCTGGTAAATCTGTGAGATACATTTGGATTTTCATGAGTCTATTCAATCGAGTTTATGGCAGCTGCTAATTCAAAGCTGATTTGAATTTACACTACTCCTTTGATTTAGCTAATCTTTCATTGTCTTGATATATAATTGCAGCTATTAACCAAATCTGCCTAGTTGACATTTTGCTTTGAGTTGCATGGCAGCAGATGAAAATTTGGTACTTAATGACTTTTTTTTGTATGGAATAATAGAAAAAAAAGTAGTATCCAAAGAACCCTTCTGAGATCAGAGTTCTTGAGCGCAAACAACTGCAAATCTGCAAAGGTGAAAGGGACTCTTCCCTAAATTGTTGCCTATAATGACTGAAAATATGGGTAGATCTTTCAGTAGGAGCACAAAATTTTCTGTATAAGATGTAAATATTGAAACTGGGGAAATTAGTTCTCTCCACTAACTGTCAAATCCTAGAAAGTCAATGAAATGAGGAAAAGACTTTCGGTCTTCAAGCCGTCTCACACTTCAGTGACTTTCTGATATTGAGGATAAAACTTCAGAACCTTGAAGTTTTATTGACTCTGGTTGAATCCTGACTCTTCCTTGCAGCCTTTTGTCATTCCTGTAATGCTGAAGGCCACTGTACATGAAGAGCTGGTTCTGTTCTCTCCATAAATCTTGCATGGGTTTGTTTTTTAACTTCGTCCCCAGGTGGTGGAACATCAGTGTTCAGGAGCTGAGCCTCTCTGCTCCCCTGACTGTGCTTCCAACTGTTACCTGTGCAAAGACTGTCGAAATTCTCCGGGAGAAGGGATTCGACCAGGTACCAGTTGTTGATGAATCTGGGTATGTCCACATATATCACTATTCATCCATATGTATCACTTCCTTCACCAGGTCCCAAGGGGTGTCTTTTAAGTGCTTGCTGGAAGCATAATATCCTCTCAATCATGTTTTTTTTTTTCAGTTATAGTAACACAGTTCAGAAATGCTGCTTAAACACACCAATGCTGGATGGACTTGGGATGTTGTCACGCCAGGAGTGTCCTGCTCTCCACATGACTCTTAATGATTATTATGATATGCTTACTCAGTGTGTCTCTGCAGGATAATGTAGTTGTTTTGTTTGGTTTTTTTGTTTGTTTGGTTTGGTTTTTTTTTTTTGATAATAACTGTTTAACTTAACAAAGCAAAAAAATTCTTGTTTAAAACAAACAAACCCAAACTTACCCAGCTCCACCACAGTGTTCACCCAGTTTCTTCAGAACACTGTGTTACAGTGCAATGCTGTAGTTACCCCTATAACCCAGGGTGTCCCCAGCAAGCTGAAATTTGCCTTATTACCCTGTAGGTCTCCTGTAGACAGGCTGAATAACCAAGAGTTGCTCAATTACTGTCCAACTGCGGTGCTAAATCAAGGAATGAATTGTTGTAGATCCTTGTAGGGAGAAGGGGAATGAGCAAAACTGGGGTGAGCATGGGCTGTCACACCTTTCAGAAGGACAGGGGAGGGTGTAAAACAATGAAGTAGCTGGTGCTTTTCAGAAGCTCCCTGAGATTGCAGGAAGCTCTGCAGTTACAAGGAGCAGAGATACAAAGAAGGGCCAGGCACCCACAGCACCTGCTGACTTGTGTGTGCGTCTCCAGAACATCTGAGAACTGGACTCTGTCTCCTGCAGAGACACAGAATCCAAGTATACCATCAATAATGTTGAATTATTACCATGAAGTAGCTGAACTGACTTCTCCATGTTGGCTGAGAGTGGATGCTTTTATCTACAGGAACACCTGAGGCTTTTGTGCTGCTTAGCCCTGTCTTTTCTCTCCCTCCCCAGGGTGATTTTGGGCATGGTTACCCTGGGTAACATGCTTTCCTCGCTGCTTGCTGGAAAAGTTCAGCCTTCTGATGAAGTCAGAAAAGTAATCTACAAGCAATTTCAACAGGTAGGCAGGTATATTGTACAGCTCCTAGTTCTCTGGTTTGAGTGGTCTGGAATAGGTGTCCCAACACTTCAGTGGCATCATGTTTGGATAAGGTTTACCTGGGACCATGCAGAGCAGCTGTTATTGAGCACAGACATACTCTAAACCCTATCCCAGATCGCTCAGTAGCTCCTAGGTTTGTGTTGTGGCTGTACTGTGCTCTTCTATTCATCAGGCTTTCTTCCAGTGTGTCTGTTGTTTCCTCCTGCCCCAAAAACCCCAGCACAAATGTGGGCAATGTGTAACTATCCAGGGGAAGAGACAGGGAGATGTTGAAACAGCTCAGCTAAATAACTTCTGCATCAGCTGAAAACAAGCAATGTTTTGCCTTACGTGTCAGATGCCTTGCTGAAGCAGGGGTTTGTGAAAGGGGTTGGCTGCTGAAAGCTGATATTGTCAAGATATGTGAATTTTGGTGTTAGTCCTTCCAGTGTGGTGGGTGGTGAGGCCCTGGCACAGGTTGCCCAGAGAAGCTGGGGCTGCCCCATCCCTGGAATTGTTCCAAGGCCAGGCTGGATGGGGCTCTGAGCAACCTGGGGTAGTGGAAGATGTCCCTGCCCATGGCAGGGGAGTTGGAACTAGTTATCTTTAAGGTTCCTCCCAACCCAAACCATTCTGTGATTCTATGGTAGCACAACTTCCCAGCTGTAGGAGCGCTCTTCTAAAATATATAAATAGTGTTATCGTTGCTTTGATTCTCTTGCAGGAAAGAATTTTGGTTTTAACATGGGGTTCTTGACTTAGTTTACACCGGGTTTTAGGTTTGAAGGCTGTCTCAAAGTAGATGAAGTGCTGTGCTCTGCAAGTGTGTGTAATGCTTCTTGTTCGGTCCACGAGCCACCAGGTCCCTTTGGCTGAGCAAGGATGCCGGCTCTTTATGGACACATGTAAATTTATTTTTTCCTTCCCAGGCAGATAATCAAGCATCATGTGGATATGTGGTGCGTAACACAACTGCTTAGCTCGTGTTCTGCCTCCCTTGGACACCTTAGGTGTTTCTGGGGCTGGTGGTGTGTGACTGTTTCTGTGGCTATGCTGGTGTCGGCTGCACCGGCCAATTCTCTGCACTTCTGAGGTTGTGGCTTTTGCCATGGGCAGCTTGAAGTTTCTCGTGCTTCTTCAGCAAAGAGCAGCTTAACCATTTCTTTTACCATCAGTTCTGGTATGTCCTTCTGGTGGAGGTTGGAAGGGGAGTGACACAAGCAGTGGTATTGCTAATGTGCTAACTGGAGGCATCATTCGTTGGTTGTTTCCTATTTGAGTTGATGTTTTTGATGGAGAAACATGGCTAAATGCACATAACCTCAGAAGTACTGTGGGTTTTGCTTTTCTTACCACTTTAGTCAAGATTATTTGGCTTGTTTACTGGTGAAATTGGGAAAACAGATCATCTGTGCCACTGAAGTGACTTCTCATATCCCACATAGGATACCACGGCACACATGAATAAGAGGCAGGCTTAGCCTGTGGCTGCCAAGGCAGAGGCATCTTTTTGTATTTTCTGGCTTTTTTAGATTGCCCAGAGAGGTTGTGGACTCCCCGTCCCTGAAGTTAATCAAGAACCTGTCTGGATGGACCTGGTCTAGTGGGAGGTGTCCCTGCCCGTGGCAGGCGGGTTGGAACTGGATGATCTTTAAAGCCCCTTCCAACCCAAACCATTCTGTGATTCTATAATGTGGGAAGCTTTCTTTGATAGGATCACCACAATCATTTTATGGCAGTCTCTTGGACTGGAAAAGGAGTGGATACAGCTTTTTTGAAGTCCCTGGTAGGACAGTGCTCTGGGAATTTGAAGCACCAGTCACGGGATAATTTGCCAATCCAAACAAGCACTGTTTGCCAGTGGAGAGGAGGAGCATCCTTGAGGAGTCAGGTGTTAGTTCCATGGTGTAGTATAGTACCACGTGTGTAGACTCATTCCCTTAAAGACTTAGTAAGTTTTTTAAAATGCCTAAATGTGGGAAGACTCGTGGTAAAATGTTTGGGGAGCTTGAATGAGCACTAGTGAGACGAGTGAAAACTCCATGGGGGTTCTGTTAAATATCCATTAAGCCTCTCAAAACATAAATATGTCTTCATAGTTGTCCCAGTGCTGCCAAGGGACTGCTTAGGCTGTTTTCCTTGAGCCTGCCCAATCCCTGGAAACAGCCCTATGGATGATACACAGTCTGATGGCAAGGGGCTCTACCCCTTCAGAGAGCTTTGAACCCAGGTTCAAAAGCTGGGCTGTGCACTTGTTTAGTCTTAGCGAAGTTGAACTTCACTAAAAATGAATTCTTAACTCTCAGTTCCTTGATTTGCACCTGAATACAGTGTTAGCTCAGCAATCTTTCACCTTTGGTTTTGGTTTTGGTTTGGTTTTGGCTTGTTTGGGCTTTTCACCTGCTGCCTTTGAAGATTGTGTTCACTTCCGCAATGGTTTGCAGCCTGATTCTTTCACTTTTTCCCAGTCTTGGTGGAAGAAAATCACCAAGTATAAAGAGTTTTATAGTAACTTCTTTTGTTAAGACACGTGGAACACTTGACCTTCTTCTATTATTAACATTTTTTTCAGATATTCAGTATATTTGTTATGTTTAGAGAATCAGAGTGAGTACCCTCATGTATTGAGTGCTTCCTTTTCTTGGAAATTAGAAACAAAGAAAACTGATCTTTTAAGTTGGCTTTGATTTGCTGGCAGTTTGCAGTACTTCAGATAAGAGCAAATGCTGATGTGCTGGTTTTAGCTCTGCACAGAGTGTGTGGGTTTTATCAACCACTAAACATAGGAAAGGAGTGTTTTATTTAAGCTGTGAATCTCTCTCCTCAGATTAACCTGAAAGACAACTTGGGGAAGCTCTCTCATATCCTGGAAATAGACCACTTTGCTCTAGTGGTTCATGAGCAGATTCAGTGTAAGTACAATGTACTTGTGAGAGGGAATCTTTGAGTGGTGACAAGAAGTGAGTGCTAATGTGTAAACAAGCTCTGAAAAAGCCTAATTCTCCTTCTCTCTCTCTAACTATGTGCTACTAACACTAACTTCCATCCCTGGAAGTGTTCCAAGGCCAGGCTGGATGGGACTTAAAACAACCTGGTGTAGTGGAAGGTGTCCCTGCCCATGGCAAGGGCTTGGAACGAAACGGTCTTTGAGGGTCCCTTCCAACCCAAACCATTCCATGCTTAGTTAGACAGTAGCTCTTTAATTCTGGTTAACTGCTCTCCAATTTTTTGTCTTTCTAAAGCAAAAAAATTACTGCAACTTCATAGAAGTTAGTAAGATCTAGAAGTTGACACTGACATCACTGTCTCAAAAATATTTCTTTTTCCTGTTTATTTTATTTAAACTACCTTCACTTGATGTTTACCCTCCAAACTCTACTTTTCTTCATCCTTCTCAAAACTGCCTTCTTTATGAACTGGAAATGACTAAATAAGTCTTCAAAGCTGGGGGTATATCACTGTTACATGTGAATAATATTTTTTCCTGTTTCATCTTGCTTGTAGCAGGCAACCTGTAAAATTACAAACTCTGAGAAACTAGACTAAAAACAACATTAAGACTCACCAGATAAATTTATCTGATAGCTATCTCAATTATAACTGTGAGAAGAATAGACATCAAATATGGGTTTGTTCCCAATAATCTCCACAAGGATGTGCTCTTGGCTCTGTGCTGGCTATTTATAAACCTAAAATCTCACTGGAAGCTTGCAGTGGAACAGAGATTGAGTAAATGTAAAGCCCAGGGCAATCCAACTGGCTGAACAAACTGAGTATAAAGTAGACTAAACATCTCAGTACAACCAGACTTCAGGACACAGGGAACTTAGACCATAGTTAAAGGGCCAGAGGTCAGGTGGCCACTTGGTTCCCAGGTCAAAGGCTTAGGCTCACAATGGAAAAAATCACTTCCATCTGTGCTCTCAGTGCAGCAAAGATTAAATGGTTACTGAGTTTTTTGGATATAAATGGTAAAATGTTGTACTGTGATCTTTATACTCTGTATTTGACAGCGGGGCATGGAGATGGTAGTGTCACATTTCCTCCTCAAAATGTGATTCCTTTGGGCCATTCAAGTGGCCCCTGGTTCCAGTGGGATAATGCCACTTGCAGCTGTTTCAAGTAGAGCCACAGAAACTAATGTATGAGGAAAATGCACTTTATAGCAGAGGGTGTGGTTTGAATTTTCAACTCAAAAAGAGTCAATCTGGGGGACCCTTACCCTTCCTTCCCTAACGTTTCAGGTTTGTTGAGAGCCTTTCTGAACTGAAAATCCTTGTCACTTCCTCTGTGACTGTTGGCCAGGATGCCATCTGGGTCCCCCCTCTGTGCTCCAGGGAACCACCAGCTCCAGGCCCTGCCACGTGGAGCTGGGCTGGTTTGGCTCCTGCCTTTACGAGCAGTGCCGTTAAAACCAAGTGGGATATGTGGGTTTGTGCCTGCTAGAGCCAGAATTCCCTTTGTTTTTCCGTGCAGATCACACTGATGGCGCCTCCAGCAAGAGGCAGATGGTGTTTGGCATCGTCACAGCCATCGACCTGCTGAACTTCGTGACCGCACGAGAGCGGGAGAGGAAATCCAACTAAGGCCAGCGTTTTGCAGTCTCCAACAAAGAATCAGGTTTATTTCTCGAGTAAAATGGCCTTAAGTAGAATGGTCTTAGGGGGTGTTTTTTGATGTGTGTTTTGGTTTTTTGGTGTTTTTTTTTTGTTTGTTTTTTTTATTTTTTAATTCTGAAAATAAGCAGTTAGCTATCCCGGTGTCAGCTCTGCAGCCAGTGTGTCCTGCTGTATTGCACAGCTTCCGGGGACTTGTTTCTTAATCAGCTTACACAATGTTTCTTATCAAGACAATTTTATTTTTTTACATATATATATATATATATGTGTATACGTCTGTAAAAAATATTGCCTAAATTAACTGGTGTGTCCCTTGTCACGTCTAAAGTCTGGCTTTCGAAAACATTGATTCATAACATGTGTTGAAATAAAGAGTTCATGAGGCAGAGGCTCCAGAGGGCTCTGGAAAGTTTCAGATAAGTTTCTCCACGCAGAGGTGTTAAGGTAGATGTTGCCTGATTGTGGAGACAAAAATGGGACCTGGGAGACAGGGAGAAGAAAGGAGGGTTTCCCTTTGGGTGGCATCAGTGTAAAACAAGAGGAAATCCTAGGGGCTGGAGTTGAGACTCGCTTCAGCCATCTGCTTTTGAGGAAAAACTGGATTGAGTAGAAACGCGGCAGTGAAGTGACAACCATAAACTAGTGGGTTTGTTTTGCATGGTGCACCAGCTTCCCCTGCCAAGACAGACCTATTTTTTTTTTTCCAGTGGCACCCTGATAAGTAAACACAAGTGGAAAGATTTAAAAGGATCAAGCTTCTTGCCTGAAGGCTTTTTTAAATCGCACTGTTTCATCTATTATCTTCCCCTTGCCTCTCCACCTCCTCATTTTAAAGAGTAGCTTCTGTAGTTGTTCTTGACCTTCATAAAGATGATGCCCTGATCATCAAGAGTGACATTTTTCTTGGCTTGTCTCTCCACTCGAGTTAAAGAAAACCCAGTTGTTTAGGATGGGGCTATTGCTGGTAGGATAGCAAAGTTGGCTTTGTTAAAAAAGAAACCAAACAAAAAAAAAAGAACCAAACCAAAAACTGAAAGGAGTTGTGAATCAGCCAAGAGAAAACAAAGGGATTATTAAAAAAATCACAGCTACTGAAGCACTCTACCTGGGTAATGGAGGAGGGAGGTGATCCAAAGGGAAGCCAGAGCTCAAAGCCAAAGAAGTGACACCAGGGATCGTGTCCCCCTGCCAGCAGTGACAGCCTCGTTTGTTTTCTTGCTGCTTCTCTCTCACCTTAAATTTGTGTATGTTATGAACTTTGCTGCAATCATAGAAAGCCTCAGACTGATTTCTGATTACTCCTTGGTGCCATGCTGCTGAATGCTGAGTTTATTCTGCCCTTGTTCAATTTATTTCCTTAGACATTGGCTACCCCTTCAGAATAGGGCTATTGCTGAATTAACCTGACCCATACTTACCCTTAACTGTAGTTTAACAATTAAATTCATATACCTCTCTAAGATACAAGACAATTTTTCTTAAGGCTCTGGAATAAACTGATAAAAAGTCTAAAAATATACAAGTTCAATAATAATTGGTTCTAAAGTGTGGTTGATTTCTTAATTATTTTTCCCCTTTCTGCTGTGCAGTGATTTCTCTCTCACTGTTCCCCCTTACTGTGGAAGGCTGAGCTGTGAGTATCAGTGTGTGTTACCTGCATGTTAAAACCACTCTTTTCAAGCCTGTGTTAGCTTTTCTGGGCTGAACAGCTCTGTCCTACCTCTGTTGCTGCTTGGCAGAGCCTCATAACTCAGCTTTCAAACTGTGTTTTTCAGCTACTTCACAGAGGGTCATAAATAACTTACAGCAGTTAAGGGCAGGGTGTTTGATTCTGGAGCTTCTGGCATCCTTTTTTCCCAGTGTTGAGGGTCTGTGTGAGTGGTCAGTTGTACCCCTGGAGACATCAGTATTTCAGCCAAGCTTCTAAACCCCTCTCCCAGTTACTTCAAATACTGTTGCCAGATGCATTTCCATGTCTATCCTTCATTCACAGGGAAGATCAGGAGACTTATTTCTTTGATTACTTGTATTTTTCACTTCATCCTTTGATTCCCACCCTGGAAAGAGAACCTGTGCACTTCACTAGATGATACAACCCAAAGTGTTTGCCGCAATCGTAGCTGTCACTGCTGCTAAATTTTGGCACTGTTGTTGCTTTTGAATGTTTACTTTACTGACTTTTATCTGATTCTCGCCCTGCCTCCCCCCCAGATTTTCCATCTGACCTTTGCTGACGGCAGCAGGGAGGGAGGTGCTTGAGTAGTTGGGGTTTTTCCTTTTTCCCTGTAGAAGCTCCATGTCCCAACCTAACTGAATTCAGCAAGAAATGTGAGGAAGGCAGAAGGAGGTTCCCAAAGTTGCTTTTCAGAACAGCACCACAAGAAGCATGTTGGAGGTGGGCCAGAAAATCAGTGGGCAAGAAAGAAGTGTGAAGGTTTGAGTCTGTTTTTATTAGTTTACTGTTCATACCTCAATCTCAATAGTGTAATGAAAACAGGCAGTATTGTGGACTGAGAAATAAGGGGTGGTTAGAACTTGTAGGGCAGAGGGGATGTGAGTCTAGAGCAATCCAAATAAGCCAAAGGATCCAAGGAAATCCACCTGCTCCCCTCTGCCCCTGTGGTTTGTTAAGAAGAGGGGCTATCTCCTGTTCTACACTGGCACAAGGAGGAAAAGGCAGGCACCAGCCCCTCTTACTCACAGTAGCAACCCTGTCTGACCAGAGGAATTGGGGAAGTAAATGGAGTTGCTGAATGACTGAAAAACTTTCCAGAGCTCTTTCCCCTAGCAGGGACGAAGGCAGCAAAGAGAAGGGGACAGGGAATCCTGCAGGGCTGAAGTTCCCCTGCAAAACTTTGTATAAGTGTGATGCATTTTTGCATGTCTGAGAACCTCATTGCTGGCCTGGTCCTGGTTGGTCATGGTAGGGCTGCATGAAACACTGGGCTCATCTTTGTTTCAAGTGTTCTGAGGACCAAGAAAGACACTGCAGTTTGTTCAGTCTTTAACCTGAAGCTTAAGGCCAGAGCTTGAACAGAACTGTATTAATAATTTTTTTTCTGAAGTGTGTGCCTTGCATCTTCTGTTTACCTGTGCTGGTTATGCAAGTGCTGACTAAACCTGAGAACTATTTTGCACGTGGATATTTGTATTTATGCTGTATTTGTGTGTCACTGTAAGAGAATGTCAGTCCTTGTGGTCTAATGCTGGCTCTGCGATAATGCTTTTATTTTCTCACCTGAAGACAATTATCCAGTAAAATCTGTACAATATTTTGCAAGCAGTTATCAGGCAATGACTCAAGGATCATGTTGAAGTTATGTGCAGTGTTATTTCCCACTTCTTGCACAAGCTGTGGCTGGCTCTAGAGCTCTGGCTCGCAGAGGTTCCTCTAAGCAGCCAGACCAGTCTCATCTGCCCACCAAGCTCATTTCTGAAAACTTCTGCTTGCTGTTACGAATTCCACACAACACTCACTGTCAGGAGCTGCCTTGTCCCTGTCATCCAGCAGCCTTTCTTACTGTGCAGCATCAACACACCACTACGACAAAGGGAAGAATTCTTATGCTTTAAGGAGCTGGGGGAAAAAAAAAAAAATCTATACTTTGAGCTGTATTTATTGCACAAATGTTCACAAACATACAATAAAAACCTGTTTGATTGCAGAATGAGTCTAGGGTTGTTGGTGGGTTTTTTTTTCACTTTCAGTGTGTGTGGACTGTGAGACTCTGCAGTTCTTTCCTTCTGCCAGAATGCTGCTGGCACAGCAGGACTGTGGGTGTGCCAGCCCATCCTCTACTTTTCACTGATGACTTTAGACCAATGCTGGTGTTTCTGAGCAGGGTATGAAGGGAGGGATGCAGAGCAAGGGCTCAGGTGCCACTGCTGCATTTCCTACAGCACCAGGAGCCTGTGCTGTCAGTTGGACAGAGATTCCTGAATAAATGCAAGGGGAATGGGCCAGCCTGTGTTTCTGTGGGAAGGCAATGTCCTTTGGGAATTGTTGAACCGCGATGAAAGTGGTTTGTATCTGCTGGGCAAGTGAGTAAACCACTCATCCCTTGGTTTTTTGGTCCTATTTCCTTATGTGGTCAGCCCTTGCTCAGCCATGTCCAGAGAGCTGAGGACCCTGCTGGCCAGTCTCATCAGGGTGTTGTTCCATCTCAGAGACACAGGGAAAGGCCACGGGGGGGGAAAGAGGTAGAGGGGGGCTTCCTCTGCCTGCCTCGGGGGCTGGGGACAGTCCTGCCAGCATGATCTCCTTGCTTTCACACTCGGTGTCCAGGTACCTCCTCACACACAGAGAGTGCTCTGTCCTCAGCTTTATCTTCTTCATCTGACACATCCTTCTCATGTGATACTTGAAACGCTGTCATTGCCAGCAGCAAGTGCAGATCACTGCCTCACCTTCACCTTTTGGCAGTCCACTCAGAGGGGGGAAAAAGGATCCTGATATAGCAGCCCGATAGGCCAAAGGCCAGCGTTGCTCCCAGGCTCACCTGTGCAAGAAAAGACCATTTCAGCATAAGGCCAAAGGCTAACCAGGCACAGTGAGCAGCAGGCAGTGTGTGGGATCAAGTTCCACCTGCCAGCAGGATGGAGGCTCCTGCTCCTGCTGCCGGGCTGTGACCACGGTCCTGAGGACGGGGCTGAACAGGTTAAGGAACACCCTGTGTGAGTAACCACGTTCTAAACCAGATCGCTGGTTTTAGCCAGCGCAGCTGTTAAGAGAAACATCCAGGGCTCCTCGGAGCCCTGAGAGCAGCAGCCCCCAGGTTGGAGCAGCAAGGGCCCACACCCCAATTTTGCAAGACCTCCTGACAGCTGAGTCACAGCCTAATGGCACCCCTGGGACTGAGCTGGCCCCAGCTGTGAGGCTGCCCCTCCTCGTGGGTCACCAGAAGGAAAAGTACTGGGTACAATCAGCTGTTCTGGCTCTGGAGATAAAGGGAGGACTTCAGTCCAGAAAGCTGCCTTATGAAAGCAATAAATTCCCTTTGGGTAAAATAAAAAAAAAAAAAAAAAAAAGCCCCACCACCCACCACCAAGCCACACTTGTGTTGCTGGTGGAAGTGCTGCTTGCCTTTTGCCACTGCAAGGGGAAGGCTGACACGTTTGAGCTTTGCTCATGGAATATTCCTAAAGGTGCTCTTTGTCTGAATGGACCTATCAGAAGTGGAGCTGTGGAGAGGGAAGGGGCACAGCCCCTGCCAGGGCACGAGGAGTCTGGGTGCTGGCACTGTTTGCCACAGGGTTCAATGCGCACAGTGGGGATCCTCTGTGTGTAAGGGGTCCCACAGAGCCTGGGATCTCTCCCTCAGCCCCTGGCAAAGCTCTGCTCCCTGTTTCCTCTGGTGGTATCCAGCTGGGTTTGTGTGCCCAAGCAAACAGGGCAGGTGTCCTCAGGACACCACCCACTCCCATATTCCCTCTGTCTGTAAGAGGCACTTCATGTCCCTGGGGAAACTGGAGTGAAGGACGTGCTCACAGTGAGACTGCTGCCTTTTGGACCTGTCAGGGTACAGGAATGAAGTGGATTGTCCCCATGGGGCAAACAAAAGCACCTTTCCCACCCTTCACAGGGTGGGAAAGGTGCTTTTGTTTGCCCCATGGGGATGTGAAGGGTGGGAAACCCAGCGTGTTTAGAGCTGCTCATGCCTTGGGTCCCTTGTGCTCCTAAGAAAAGCCAGCAGGTCTGCTTTTCTCCTGCTGCCTCTGGAGCACCACTTGCCTCACAGCCAACGGTAGCAGATGCACCACCAAAGGTGGCTCATCAGAGGCACTGAAAACTCCATGGGATGGACAAGCCAATGCTGACCTCTCCTCAAGCAGGTGGGTGTAAATGGCTGCTTCAATGAAGTAACAGAAATGTAACTTTTCTAACCCATTTCTGCCTTGGACAGGTGCACTTGGGCTGGTGCACCTCACCCCAAGTGCCTCACTCCATCAGGCAGATCCCTGCTGAGTGAGGCTCGTCAGGAAACACAGCCTTGCTCAGAAGTGCCAGTGGGCACTTTAATTTTAAATTGCCACAAGCAATTAAATTCTTTATCTGTTTTTGGCAAGGCTTACATTATGGGGAGTGGACCTGCATAAAATTCAAGTTTTGGACAGGTGGAACACGCCGTGCTTCAGCTGGAATAGTTTTGCATTGAAATAAGACTTTTACACCAAATGTGTCAAAAAGGTGAAAAATATGTTTAACAGCAAGTAACAGCCTACTTTTTTCCCAGTTTACCCGCAAAATTCATATAGCAGGTACTCTCACCAGTATTTCAACTCACAGTCCAATTCATTTTAACCAGCAGCAGTTTTAATCTCATGCCCTCATAGCAAAATGGCCCTGAATTATCTGCTGGGCTTTCCCAGAACATTGCTAACCCTTCTTCTCCTGACATCCTCTCAAGCCCTGCTGTGGAGCTTCAACTGTTTTGGTAAAGCCATTTTGATTATTAAATTACATGGGAGGGAAATGCATGGATTGCTTCCCACTTGGTACAGCAGAATCAGTGACATTTTAAAACCAGATTGTCTCCTCTGAGAGAAAAATTCACAGTGGGGTGAGACTGTGGTCACAAAAGATCTCTCCTCCCAAGCACCCAGAAGTAAAACCTGAGTGCTGCATCCCCAGTGAGATCACAGAATCACAGACTGGTTTGGGTTCAAAGAGACCTTAAAGACCACCCAGTTCCATCCCCCTGCCGTGGGCAGGGACACCTTCCACTATCCCAGGTCGCTCAGAGCCCCATCCAGCCTGGCCTTGGACACTTCCAGGGATGTGGCAGCCACAGCTTCTCTGGGCAACGTGTGCCAGGGCCTCACCACCCTCACAGTAAAGATAAGATGAGTACTATGAAACTATTTATGCAAAGAGTCTTTTAGACGATGACGGTCTAAACACAGAGTCCCTCTCCCTGTGCCTGGACATGGACTCTCCTGTCACACCTTCCTGTGAGAGCAGGGAGCCATCCCAGTGTTCTCAGCTGTCATCACTCCCTGCGCCTCCCTGCCTTTTTATGGCCAGCTGGCTGTTTTTTTCCAGTTGTTGCTTCCCAGCCTGAGGGCACTGATGTTTAGTCAGTGGGGTCCTGTAGGTTAAATGCTGCAAGGTGACTTCAGTGCGGGCCCACCGCGGAATGTGCTGCCGTGGGTTTTTTTCAACTTAGTAACACAAGCACTGCAGAATGGCAAGGTAAGATTAGGTACCCATGGGACGTGCCTTTATTACATGTGGAGGTTGTGAAGTGCCTGGTGTTCCTGTGTGGGTGGAAGGAGGATGCCAGTGAAGACCCCAGCCAATCCCCTGTGGACCAGCTCCTCCTCTGCTCCTAACCTGCAGGCACAGGCAAAGTAGGAAAACCCCTGCCAAAATGCCTGGTATCCCCACCTGCTGGGGCCACACCAGCTGTGTGTGTATCTGTAGGGCTGGTGATGCCACAGAGTCAGAGTGCACAGCAGCTCTGAGGACGGTGGTGGTGGGAAAAAGCTGTGGTTTAACCTGTGCTGGCAACTCAGCCCCACAGAGCCCCTCACTCACTGGGGACGGGAGAGAGAACTGGAAGGGTGTAAGGGAGAAAACTCATGCATTGAAATAAAGACAGTGTAACAGGTAAAGCAGGTAAAGCACAAGTCATGTGTGTGAGCAAAGCAGAAGGCAGAGTTAATCCCCCACTTCCCATGGGCAGGCAGGTGTTCAGCCTTCCCAGGAAAGAATGGCTCCATCACATGAAATGGGCAGCTTGGGAAGGCAAACATCCTCACTTCAAATGTCCCTCTGTCCTTCCTACCCCCACCTTAACATGGCTGAGCATGATGCCACGTGATGTGGAACATCCCTGCGGTCACTTGGGGTCAGGTGTCGCAGCTGGGTCATTCCAAAATCCTCGTGCATCCCCAGCCTCCTCTAGGGCAGGGTGGGATGTGTGGACTTCTCCAGGGCCCACAGCACCTTCAGAGTACCTTCTCCAACATGGCCATATCCCTGGCTGCAGTCCCTCCAGGATGAACCTGCTCTGTTGGGGGCTCAACCACGGCCACACACCTTGAGGTGCTCCGGCGTGACCTCACGCACAGCCACTGGTGCTTCCAGGTGTACCTGCTGCCACATGGACTTATCCACGGCCACACCTGCTTCAGGGTGCTCTTCTGCCACGTGGACTCACCCACAGAGTCCCTCAGGTTCCAGTTCACGCTGGAGTTCCAGCCTGTCCAGTACAGTGGCCCAGAAGCAGCAGCGAAGCCCTGGCTGTTACTGGAATGACCCAGGCACAGTGGAAATAAGGCGATGAGCAGCACAGCACTCCAGCAAAGTGGCAAAAGCAAAAAGTAGCCACAAAGAAACACTAGACTCTAATCTACAGTTGGGCAAGCCCCACGGCAAGCACAGGAGCCTGGTAATTAATATCTAAACAGCACTGACAGCCATAAATTTGACCTAGCACACTCCAATCAAACCTGTTGCTGTCTAAAACCCTCGAGCCCCAGAATGGGCACCTAAAAGTTCTGTTGTGGTTTAACCCCAGCCAGCAGCTAAGCCTGAGCATTTTTATCAGATGCAGCGAACAGCTTTTACCTTGTCCTTGAAAAGGAGACATGGGATGGTTTTTTGTTTCAAAGTCCTCAAAATTACCATTTAGACCTTTTTCTGAGAAAAGTCTTCCATTAAAAAATA